ATGTATCCATCATATTTTTTATTTGTTTCAATTGTATTTGTCTCATAAGTTGCACAATGGTCAAGCAGATCATCCGAGAAGGACGGGCTGGTATGCTGACTTATTTGCCAGCTTGAAGCGACTACAAGAATGGCGAACGGACCTCCTCTCTAGCTTCAATTTAGGAAAATTTAGGACAAGTATTGGTTTGATATTTTGACGAAGTCTGGCTCCCGGCAGCCGGCGATCACCGGCGCGAACGGTTCACAAACCACTTCTGGTCAAAATTGTACGGGATCGGCGCCGGGGCAGATCGCAAGAGTTGGGCACTGTCCAACTTTGCCGGCGGTCCCTTGCGATATTTTACCGTATGATTTTGTTACGACTGCACTGGTTCACACAATCGCAATGTGCCGGGAGAGGTTGCAAGAAGCCCACCGCCGGTGACTCCCGGCGCGTACCGGCGATATGTGAACCAACCCATACATGTAGTACTGGTACACTTACCTGGAAAACAGGTTTTACCGAAAATTTCCCTCCACCGAACTGCCGATTTTGGAGAATACCAGAAATATTACACCACCGAAAATTTCTGCTTTTACAGTACGGTACATGTACGAGGGCACATGGCTTAAGGGCACAGCCTGGAAGCTTGCGCGCATGCTGCTCGCCGCCTTTCCATCGGTGTGACTGGGTGTTGCGTGTGACTTGGTCCGTGTGTGTCCTTTCAGAACCGTGCTACGAACAAGAAAGAGAATTCCGACAGCCCTCGCTGTTCAGAGCAACTGCGAGCCTTCTTGCCAGTAGAGTTACGGTGAGTTATAATTATTCAACCATCCATATGTCAAACAAAAAACGAGTTCTGTGAACAAACACATTCATTAGCGTTACATAGCACACACACACACACACACACACACACACACACACACACACACACACACACACACACACGCATACACACGCATACACGCACACGCACAGAGACGCACAGACATATACTATACGAGGTTAAAAACTCTTACAGGCGCTGTCCACATGTACAGACAATGTGCAATGCTGCTCAATGAAATCCGATTACTAAACGAGCCAATGCCACGCCGGTTGCTGTGCAACCCTGGACTTGCGAACACTGGGATGTTCTGCTGGTGCAGGGCACAGACATCACTCACATGATCGGGTTTCATTGAGCAGCACTTTAGTATTGTATTACCTGTACACGGTGAGTGCTTGGAATGGCCCAGATGCATGTGTGATGACGACGACGGTAATGGGAGGTTTTGTGCTGTTAATCTTGTGCCCATACTTCGAAGTATGTTTTTTTCTTCTGTTGCTGTTCACGAACTACTCTAGTTGTCAGCCTGTGAGGACTCCAGTGCAGTTGACGCCATCACCCGGTGGCCGCCAGTCACAGAGGTGAGACCCCGTGTACTACCGTGGCAGTGTGCATTGTGTGCGCATGTGCCGGCCAGCTATATCGCCTTCTTGTTTGTTACTCAATCTTGTTGTGTGCACAAGTGGAGGGAGTTGAAATGGGATAGGTCTGAAGAAAAAGCTGACTGTCGCCACCAGGACTCGCACCAGGGACCTTCACTTGAGGCCAGCGATGCTCTAACCATTGTGCTATGGTGTGGCTGTCATCCCAGCAGAGACTTGTGTTCGGATTTGCCAGCTACATGTATTATATTGCCTTCCATTTTGTTACTCAATCTCAACACACACACACACACACACACACTCAATGGTTTCTCCGCTGCGAAAAAAACTCCGCCAAAGTTTCGGCCCGGGCCCGTCATCAGGGTGAACAATCAACGTTTGTTGTTGTTGTTGTTGTTGTTGTTGTTGTTGTTGTTGTTGTTGTTGTTGTTGTTGTTGTTGTTGTTGTTGTTGTTGTTGTTGTTGTTGTTGTTGTTGATGTTGATGTGGAGCCGAAATGTGTGTACGAGTGGGGAGCAGTGCTGTAGTTGTATTGCAGTGGATCTCAGATAATGTGCATAGGCACTCGCGGACTGGAAAAAACTGTACTTTCTGTCTGAGGTACTTCTTATCCAAAGTTGGGTCCCCGCGGCACAACCGATACACAATACCTGTAGTACTAGTAGTCGAAATCACTTGTCCTAGCCTTATTGACCCGTCTTCCTCCGAGGAGCCTTTTTGAGTGGTAGAATGCGTGACATCTTTGCGGCACCTAGAACACACACAGTACGATAATTTGATCTATCAAGACTACGAAGAGTATAATGGTTGTCCGTGTGTATGTGTGTGTGTGTGTGTGTAGAATGCCATCGGCATCGGCACTCAATGTCAACAGGCATCATCCGTTTGCAGGTATGTTTGGAAACAGCGTTGTGTATTTAATATTATTTTATGTATGTGTGATGTATCGTATTTTTCCTGATCTTCTCTTCTGCTTCGCTTTTGTGCTATGTGTTTGTAATCAAGCACGACCACTTCATTGCAATATCTGTTCTTCTCTTCTTTGCCTCAAGATGTGAGCGAGGTTGAGTGTGTTCTGAATGGTAGTCTCAGCATTACTTGATATGCAGCAGGGTTCTAGCCAGGTCAAACTAGTAGGGGGGGGGGGGGGGGGGGGCATGGGAAAAGTTTAAGCTGACGATAATCCAGGCACGGCCTCACTGGCGTAGTCTCCTTGTGGGGCTGAGAAACAGCGAGAAACGGTAGAACGCACATAGCTTCTCCGAATGCCTCCGTGTCATAAGGCACAAGCCATTCCTTTTCGAGCCACGACTCGACTTCGGCGAGGAAGCACTCCTCCTCCGTGCTGGACAGCTTGCTGCGTGGGCACTCGCCAATGCCACAGCCGAAGGGAGATGACGGCGGCGTACCATCTTTCCAGGTCCACTGCGCCTCCCAATAGCCGGCGCTGCCGCTCTAGGTCACAGAAACATCGGTCATTTCGAGCGTCACGGTATCGTCATTCTCCTTCACAGACATATGACGCGACAGCTTGCTAGAAGATGCCACACCTGCACCAATCACGTCCAGCCGGGTACCGAACACTACCGACGACAGCCGTCCGCCTGGGGTCTCGTACGCGATGTTCACCCCTCCGGTCTTAGCTGCAATGTCTGCGCCCAGCAGAATGTCGGTGTTCAGCGCAGCCAAGTCCTCCACCACCACTAGCCTCGCGCATATGTGCGGTAAGTAAACATGACCGTCCAGACGTCGCATCATCACATCGACGCAGCCACTGGTGTTCAGCGTATGGCCCTGAATCGTCAGAAGTGACTCGTTGCTATCCCTCACGCTGTGCAGCAGACCCAACCTCCTCACTAATGCCAGCTCCACGAGAGACGTGGTGCATCCCCTGTTCACTACCGATGCACGCCTGCTCCATTCTGCACCACCATCCGACGAAACGTCCACTGCCACTCTCACTAAACCATTGCATGCACTGTAAGGCATGGCCAGGCACAAGCCAGTACGGTCCTCTGCTGAGGCCAATGCTGCAGCAGAACCAGACTTAGTGGACTTGTTGGTGGGGCAGTTCCGCTTGATGTGCCCAGGCTGCTTGCACTTGTAGCACTTGATTGGTGGCACACCAGCGCGACCCTGTCCGTGGTTGTCGCCCGTCCGATCACGGGAGCGCTGGCGGGGGCAGTTAAGTTTCATATGGCCTACTTGGCCACAGGCGAAACACAACGTGGGCGACGACACTCATGCAGCAGCCGCTGCTGCAGCGTGCACTACTGCACCACTCGCCTGCATGACCCGCGCCTTGGTCACCAGCTCCGGGAGAGTGTGCGATTTCGCTGCGTGCTCCAAGCGAAGGGTCCTGCTAAACTCCGCTGGAAGGCCACTCAAAAACTGCTCGATGAGCACGGGATCTTTGCCGTCCGCGGCGAGTGTATTCCCCTAACAATGCACGAGTTGCCCTAAATACCTCTGCTGTAGCCTTGGAAATAATGGCGTACACGACGCGCCAAAACTGGCAAAAGATCAACGGCCCTGCGCTGACGTACCCGTCATGGTTACATGCAATGAAATGAAATTAAATGAACTGCATGTGACAGCACAGCCTTGCGCGGTACAACCTCCGGTAAAACAACATGCATGCAACACATGTAATGAATACAAGGTGTGTGATGACCTATGCTGTGCACATGCACCAGTACTCATTTACTAACAGCATGAAAATCGGAAAATGAGTAGGGGGCACTTTTTTACAGGGGACGAGCAAACAGAGTAGGGGGCGCTGCACCTCTACCCCCCCCCCCCCCCCCTTTAGGGTAGAACCCTGAACAGTCAACCTAATCGAGGGTCGTTATGTGCAAGGTTGACTATAGATGTTATGGTCATGACATCACTTTCCATGCTTCGTGTTCTTGTGTATGGACCTGCAGATCACGCAAGCGGAGAGGAGATTTCCGACTTCCTCTGCCGTAATGTCACCAATCAGTGAGTGCTTGAAAGCTGTATCAACAGGGCACATACCTACACGATCACACACCCAAGTCACATGCTCTGTACTATAGAGCCCACTTTTAAAACACGAACACCCATGCAACGAAATTTGGGATAACCCGTGAGAAAATCAGGCGGAAATGCATATCTTACACATAGACGAGTTTCCATTTGTGTTTTTAATTTGTTTGGGCCTGTGAGCTTATAAACGGAGGAGGGATATAGGCCCGTGTGCTTACAATGTATATGCGCGGAATTACGGCAGCACAAATTCCTGATAACACGGGAAATATTTCTGGTCCCTGAATATCCTTGCTTAATTCCTCTGTACGCCCTTCTTCATCTAATGCTATCATCGAACAGGCACACTAGCCTGGGGTCTATGATCCAGTAGCACATTGTAGAATGCTTCCCGTGTTCACAGACTTGGAGTGGTTTCACATCTTTGTCACATGTGCGTGCGTGTGCGTGCGTACGCGTGTTCTGTGCTATGCTCTTGTGCATACTGTTGCTATCGTGCGCAGGGGATTACTTGATCTGATCACCAAATACCTGATCAATATGGCATGCAATCGCCGCGGTGTTATCTGGTAAGTCATCTCTCAACCCCCCCCCCCCCCCCCTCCCCCTCTCTCTCTCTCTCTCTCTCTCTCTCTCTCTCTCTCTCTCTCTCTCTCTCTCTCTCTCTCTCTCTCCCCCCCCCCCCCCTCTCTCTCTCTACCCCCTCTCTCTCTCCTTCTCCCTCTGCCTTTCCCTTTACGTTGAGTGCTTCCACATCTGTGGTTCATTCTCATTGCAGTCCCTTTCCTATGACCTTGATGCTCGCTCGTGCTAGCTCCCCTGCTGTGAACATGCACATTGCTAAATCCTAGCATTTCTCAATATGCGAAGGTCCCACTGTAGCCATCCATTACATCCATACATGCTCACAGCACTCTCAACAGTCACTGAGCTACGCGAATTAAAAACCCATTCCTCAAATATTCACCGGTTTGGGGGAAAGACGCAAATAGTTAAAAAATTATCCGGATAAAACCTACTTCGAAGTACCATGATCATTGCACGTTCAATGGGTTTTCTGTATGTTCTGTGCATTACCTGTTGCCAGGCCGGTGCCGTTGCGCAAGGCGTTTGTGCAGCTCTACTCTCTGGTGCGCCCGTGCTGGTCGGCACCTACACTGGAGTCCAGGTTAGCATATCAATGCATGTCAACGCATGTCAATACATGTCAACGCATGTCAACGCTTGTCAACGCATGCCTGGTGCTGATCAAACATACAGCTGTTTGCTTGCCATATTTTCCAGAGTATTACGCCGCACTGGAGTATAAACCGCATCCAGATGTTTTTGTCACGAAATACTGTACTGGTTTGTGATATCTCCCCTGTATGGCACCATTCATTTGTGATATCTCCCCTGTATGGCGCCATTCATTTGTGATATCTCCCCTGTATGACACCATTCATTTGTGATATCTCCCCTGTATGGCACCATTCATTTGTGATATCTCCCCTGTATGTGATATCTCCCCTGTATGTGATATCTCCCCTGTATGTGATATCTCCCCTGTATGGCACCATTTATTTGGCCGTCATAGTACAGTATGAGCCGCTCTGACCTTCTTGGGGTGAATTACGGCGGCTTATGCACCGGAAAGTACGTTAGTTTCACGTTTAAATTGTGCATCAATCGAAATTCGTTTGTCAGCCTAACCAGTACATTATATTGGTGGCGTATGCTTGCTCCAAGACTAATAGGTTGGTGTTCTTATGTTTTTCAACCCATAGATAGTTAAAGCTCTGACAACTCACAGTGAGTTTTCTATTGTACTCGTTGTTGTGGGCCTGTGTCACCGGTGTTTGTTTGTTTGTTTGTTTGTTTTGCTGTGCAGATCGGAGGACAGTAAGCGTGTTAACAAGCTGGCGTGGGTGAGTCCTGCTTGGCTTGCTCATTGAACTGTGTATTGGCAAGCTGGTTATGTTGTCCTGCATCTGTGAGCCTGGTGATTGTGGAAATGTGGAACTTAGAGTGGCATCTAAAATGGAAATGGTTCGTTTGATTTTTGCGTACAGTCATGTGTTCATGTGGGTGTACGTGTGTGTGTGTGTGTGTGTGTGTGTGTGTGTGTGCGTGCGTGTGTGTGTGTGTGTGCACGTGTGTGCACGTGTGTGCACTTGTGGTCATGTGCATATGTGTACATGACTATATGTGCAAAGATGTATGTTATGATGCTTTTTTGATTCATTCTAAGGTGGCACTTGTGGGATGTGAGCTTGCACTGGACCAGTTCACGACCAGTGCACTGGAGGCCAGCAAGAAATCTTCAGCACCACCATCACAACCACGGTGAGGACAATACCTACCTACACCTTCTGTAGTCTCATACAGTGGTCCCTTTATAGTCCGGCAACATTTGTGCTACGAAAATTCTGCTGGATTAGGGTTGGTTCACATATCGCCGGTACGCGCCGGGAGTCCTCGGGAGTAGGCCTCTTGCAACCTCTCCCGGCGCATTGCGATTCTGTGAACCAGTGCAGTCGTAACAAAATCATACGGTAAAATATCGCAAGGGACCGCCGGCGAAGTTGGACAGTGCCCAGCTCTTGCGATCTGCCCCGGCGCCGATCCCGTACAATTTTGACCAAAAGTGGTTTGTGAACCGTTCGCGCCGGTGATCGCCGGCTGCCGGGAGCCAGACTTTGTCAATTTTCAAACCGATACTTGTCCTAAACTAAATTGAAGCTAGAGAGGAGGTCCGTTCGTCATTCTTGTAGTCGCTTCAAGGTGGCAAATAAGTCAGCATACCAACCCGTCCTTCTTGGATGATCTGCTTGACAATTGTGCAACTTATGAGACAAATACAATTGAAACGAATAAAAAAAATATGATGGATACATTGGCAAGTTCTTGTGACTTCATCAACGTTTGCACGCATAATTTCGACACCGCCGCTTACTAGACTGCAATAAAAGGTGTAGAAGTAGTTTCATGATCTCCAGTAAAAGGTAGCACCGAGCGGCCATCACCGAAAAACCTTGAACTACTGAAGAAACAAAGAATTGAAGCTTCAATTGGCAAACCTGTCGTAGCAATTGGGCATATTCTGTACTACTTTGTAGTAGATTTGGTACTCGAACCGTATGCGCAACGGATCGGGAGCTGGCTCACCGCCGATGTCTTGCGATGTCTTGCGGTGCCGATTTTGCTTATGTGAACCAACCCTTAGGGAAGGTGCTGGATTAGGGAAGGTGCTGGATTAGGGAAGGTGCTGGATTAGGGAAGGTGCTGGATTAGGGAAGGTGCTGGATTAGGGAAGGTGCTGGATTAGGGAAGGTGCTGGATTAGGGAAGGTGCTGGATTAGGGAAGGTGCTGGATTAGGGAAGGTGCTGGATGAGGGAAGGTGCTGGATTAGGGAAGGTGCTGGATTAGGGAAGGTGCTGGATTAGGGAAGGTGCTGGATTAGGGAAGGTGCTGGATTAGGGAAGGTGCTGGATTAGGGAAGGTGCTGGATTAGGGAAGGTGCTGGATTAGGGAAGGTGCTGGATTAGGGAAGGTGCTGGATTAGGGAAGGTGCTGGATTAGGGAAGGTGCTGGATTAGGGAAGGTGCTGGATTAGGGAAGGTGCTGGATTAGGGAAGGTGCTGGATTAGGGAAGGTGCTGGATTAGGGAAGGTGCTGGATTAGGGAGGGTGCTGGATTAGGGAGGGTGCTGGATTAGGGAAGGTGCTGGATTAGGGAAGGTGCTGGATTAGGGAAGGTGCTGGATTAGGGAAGGTGCTGGATTAGGGAAGGTGCTGGATTAGGGAAGGTGCTGGATTAGGGAAGGTGCTGGATGAGGGAAGGTGCTGGATTAGGGAAGGTGCTGGATTAGGGAAGGTGCTGGATTAGGGAAGGTGCTGGATTAGGGAAGGTGCTGGATTAGGGAAGGTGCTGGATTAGGGAAGGTGCTGGATTAGGGAAGGTGCTGGATTAGGGAAGGTGCTGGATTAGGGAAGGTGCTGGATTAGGGAAGGTGCTGGATTAGGGAAGGTGCTGGATTAGGGAAGGTGCTGGATTAGGGAAGGTGCTGGATTAGGGAAGGTGCTGGATTAGGGAAGGTGCTGGATTAGGGAGGGTGCTGGATTAGGGAAGGTGCTGGATTAGGGAAGGTGCTGGATTAGGGAAGGTGCTGGATTAGGGAAGGTGCTGGATTAGGGAGGGTGCTGGATTAGGGAAGGTGCTGGATTAGGGAAGGTGCTGGATTAGGGAAGGTGCTGGATTAGGGAGGGTGCTGGATTAGGGAGGGTGCTGGATTAGGAAAGGTGCTGGATTAGGGAGGGTGCTGGATTAGGGAAGGTGCTGGATTAGGGAAGGTGCTGGATTAGGGAAGGTGCTGGATTAGGGAAGGTGCTGGATTAGGGAGGGTGCTGGATTAGGGAAGGTGCTGGATTAGGGAGGGTGCTGGATTAGGGAAGGTGCTGGATTAGGGAAGGTGCTGGATTAGGGAGGGTGCTGGATTAGGGAAGGTGCTGGATTAGGGAAGGTGCTGGATTAGGGAGGGTGCTGGATTAGGGAAGGTGCTGGATTAGGGAAGGTGCTGGATCAGGGAAGGTGATGGATCAGGGAAGGTGCTGGATTAGGGAGGGTGCTGGATTAGGGAGGGTGCTGGATTAGGGAAGGTGCTGGATTAGGGAAGGTGCTGGATTAGGGAGGGTGCTGGATTAGGGAAGGTGCTGGATTAGGGAAGGTGCTGGATTAGGGAAGGTGCTGGATTAGGGAAGGTGCTGGATTAGGGAGGGTGCTGGATTAGGGAAGGTGCTGGATTAGGGAGGGTGCTGGATTAGCAAAATATCTGATTTGCTGCTGCAAAGTGCATGAAGAGGACATTTTGGTTACTGAACATTGTGCTGTTTATAGAGGGTGCTGGTTTATAGAGGGTGCTGGTTTATAGAGGGTGCTGGTATATAAAGTGCTGGATTACAGAGGGACGACTGTGCACAGGTATCAGTACAACAATGGACAAGAACAGCTCATCACACAACACCAAGTCTCACGTACCTAGCAGTCAGGTGATTGCTACCGGCACCGGTCATGTGATTACTATGTGCACAAGAGCTGGACTCGTGACCAACGATTCTTGCCCACTGTTATGCTGACTTTTGTATTCATGCTCTACCTCTTAGCATTGAGTCCTTTGGTTTCACTCGCAGCACTCTCAGCTTGCTCAGCATGGCCTGGCTATGGGGATATGGTATTGGATTTTGCCGTGACTCTTTGTGTTTGCCTGTGGAAAGGTTTATTTATTGACACAGATTATTTTTCTTCTGTGGGAGTGTCAAGGTCAATGATTTCTGCTCACTGTTGTGTGTGTGTGTGTGTGCGTGCGTGCGTGCGTGTGTGTGTGTGTGCGTGTGTGCGCGCGTTCAGCTTGTTGAGTCTGATCGGCAGAAGCATTGGCGCCGATCTGCACTTTCTGATATCCACAACGACCCCCGTGTCGTTCATGGGCGTGGAGTTTGTTTCCAGAGGTTAGTGAGCGAATACTGTGTGGATCAAACATGTCGTAGCAGCTGTACTTTCTAGGCTTGCCCTGACCTGAATATCTCAATAGAATTGTCCCAGTTGGTAAAGCAAGAGCACAGGCACTGCATAGAATTATTTTTCTCAGATCAATAGTAGTGCAAACAAAGGTGATAGGTTTTACTATAATTCTCTAAACGTTCCGTTGTTCTGAACATCTTTTTTTATTCACTGACGATGTTCCTCAGCACTGTGAACAATGAAACGTCTCTGTAATTATTGTGAAACCTGTCGCCTTTGTTTGCACCACTCTTGGTCTAAGAAAAAAATATTATATTCAGTGACACAGTGGGAGTGGGTAACCAACTAACTGCTCGTCCATCAACTCCAAGAGCCCTGTGTCAGTCCGTGCGCCAGACTCAAAAAGGTCGTCTAAAAGTTGACTTTTCATTTTCCGCACTGGGCAGTTTGCGGGTACTTTTTGAGTCGCATTCTCAAAGGTGGACAATTTTGGAAAATGGTTTTGTGTCTATGGCTCGTTTGTTTTGGCATTTCGCTACCTGTGTGGTGAGCCTAAAAATTGCGCTTAGCCGTGGCAACGCAATGGTGTATTCCGTTTTTCAGCCAGATGACTTGTTTCGCTGTGGTCCGGCATCTTCCTAGATTCTCAGCCGTCGTCGAATTTGAGTATTTTTGAAACATTTTTTAGGGTGCAGGCGTGGGGCAAGGCTTTCACTCCCAGCCAATGGCACCATTTGGCATAACTCAACCCTATGAACACGTCACCAGGCCCTCGTTAGTGTCCAGCCCATATTTCCAAAAAATGGACTGGACTTGAAACTTGAGTGTACAGACAGTACTATGCATTATGCACGTAATGACCGTATGCAATAACTTTCGCAAGCTACACGACAAGGACTCGCTGCAGGATAACATAATGATATTCACACCATATGCCATTGTGGTGCACCGTGATACCAATGACAGTATATTTATCGGTGATCAATTGCCTACTGGGTCGCTCCGTTGCCGAGAACGTCAACTTTGCGGACTGTGGAATGACCCGCGACACCGCCAACCACCCCTGACACAAAGCCAAATGCTGAAAGAGCTGACTGATACGGTACCTGTAGCGGTTCTACAAACGCACTCGAATCCCACTTCTGACACCATGTAGTGGTTCTACAAACGCACCAAAGACATCTTGTAACTAGCTTCGTTACTACAAATCACAAGTGTGTGGGAATACAGAGAACGACAGAGAGATCAAAGGAAAAGCCAGGCAGGCAGGTACAGCTAAAGTGCGTACGGTACAACTGGCATGTCGCGCAGCGCGGCCGGATGAATGCATACATGTTACATAAAAGGATACAATGACAAACAGTGGGATGTGCATCCACTACAGTACCTAGCAAGTTAACTGGGTAATGCTCATCTTCAACAAAACCAGGACATAAAACAGTGCTATGATAAACTACCTCCAGTCACCGGGAACAAATACAGTGCACTACGCATATGGATAGAGATTGCACTAGTACATGTATAATTGTATACCAATCTTAGAGAAACAAACAAGTTATCGGGTGTATACCATCAGAGTTGGCAGCTATATGTATTGGATTCTCCTGGTGTGCAGAATGATGCTGGCGGCGTGGTTCATATCCACTGTTGGCTTCCTGTCGGCAGTACCTTCACTATCTCACGTCTAAGGCATTTTATAGTCTGCATGACTTGGATCAGAACGCCATAGTTATCCACACGAGAATGGTAATAAATCCAGATCACTAAGGCCTTCTTCATTGCAGTTGGCGCAATACGTTCACGGGATCGCGTCTCCGACCTCCAAATTGTAATTATAGCTGGCTAGTCTGTTGTTTATTGGCAAACAAGAATTGCGATGCTTCTTCAAAAGAGGCAGTTTAGCGATGTCTGTCCATGACATATTCCGCATTGCTGTGTGTGGAAGGAAAGGTGCAACAATATCAGATTGCTGCTGGCCATAGACATCAAACTGCAACATCTGGGCTTCAGCTGTCACAGGTTCATTGACAGAGAGACTGCCGCATATTGCACATACTGCAAACTATTGACTTCATGCCATCGCCTCATGGATCAGAAGTCACCACACTGAAAGAAGAACAGCAGAGGAAAACAGAACTGATGCAGTTAATTGGCAGCAACAAATTTACTCCTTCATTTCATTCGACGAATTTGAGTCGTGTAATGCAAGAAAAAAGTCAGAGAGCAGGATCTAGGAGAGGGCATGCACCAGTGCTGTTGTGCCTATAATAATTAGATGCTCAGAATTTCACCACAATAATGCACATAATACTGACATATTTACACTATGCAACCTAGTAGTCAACAAATTCAGAAAAAATCTAGTACTTCAGCTGGTGAAATATCCCACCTCTGTCCCCTAAGCTCAAATGTCCCTGTAAAATTGATAAAGGATTGGTAGATGCTCACTCGGAGTGGTGTTTGAAAAGTAACACAACAGGTTATGACGATTTAGAGCATGCTCAATTGTCTCTTCTCATAAAATCACAATATTGCCTGTGCGTGGTTTATTTCGGGTGCAATTGTGGGGCACATAGGTATCACTCTAATTTCTCGTGCATTCGAAAGATAAAGCTTTGGTCTATCACACCACAAAGCGGCTTTAGTGTCCGCGATGGGTAAATGCCTTACCTGGTGTGAAATTGGTGACCATATTCCTCGTTTCAGCAATTACAAAAATGAGACATTCGTCCTTGGTGGCTGCTCACGAACTGCAAGCTCCAAAATAATTTTCCGGGGTACGGCCATAGGTGTCTACATCACTCCGAGCCATCTCTCCAGTGTAGGAAAGGTCTCCTGACGAGACTAGAAGGGCTCTAAGCAGCAAATTTCATTGAAATATTCACCATTCGGAGATAGGCGAAATCAACAGAAAACAAGCCCGCAGGTGCGGCGCCTTGGAGGCTACGATTCCCGCGAGAAAATGAAAATCGGTCTCTCAAGGGCCTTGGCGCACGGACTGGTGTGGAGTATGGAGTGGAAGTGCTGGCTACTTCTGAAGTACTGTAAAACCGGAAAGTTTAAAGACCAAAAAGTTTAGCATTTGTGTAATTTTGGTTTGATAACGTGCAGAAAGTTTAACGATGGCTACCTGGCCACGCATCTGTATGCGCATCTTTACACAGACATCTCAAACCGGGTTCACGATAACGTTATTTGCAACGAAAAAATTGGTCGTAAAACGTTAGACTTTGTGACTCGCTAGACTTTCTGGTTTTACAGTAGTTTAAAGTTGTACAGTAGCTGCGTATTAAATTTCAACAAGTTACAATGTCACAGCATGCAGGTGCTCTTGTACAGTATTCTACATCTGAATGCTCAGACAAAACAACTCTCTATTGGGATTTTATTACCGGCTGCCTGTACTTTTTCTGGGGATTGTGTTGTGCGTAGGTAGATAGTGTGGCTGCCGCGGCTGCTGCTGAGCTCATTTTCTGATGTTCCTGCATTATTTTGTTGACAAGATCCCCTTCGAAGCATAGTACTGTTGTCTGTTGTTGTGCTTCTGTCGTGTGTTTGTAATCAGTCTACTGGCTCTCAGCGCATGTGTCCACACAGCTTAATCAGTCTGCGGCGGCCATTGGTCAGTTCTACAAGGTACGTGATTGGATCATCTGCATTGCCCCCCCCCCCCCACTCTGATAGCGCACCACCCTACTGATTTTTCGATTATTTTAGTTCACACAACGGAAATGCGGCCACAAATCAATCGTTGCAGGTGCTCACTGAGCCCGTACATTGCATTTCATGTGACAAGGCAAGGCAATAGTGGAACGTGGAAAAAATGGGCGAACTGTTTGTTTCCCCATGCCCGCCCCCTACAATTTTTTTCCTGGCTAGAAGGGCCCTGCTTACTGCTACTAATACCGTATTTCCCCGACTGTAAGTCACACTGTTTAAAGTAAACGTCAAGGGCAAAGAAGGGGGTGCGGTGCGACTTACAATCCAAAGTGACTTCTTACTTATGTGAATGCATTGAGACGATTTGGTTCGGACGCGAGAATGGGCTGCGACTTATAATCGGGGAAATACAGTACTGCAAGTTGACCACTGTTGTTTGCATGTGTCTGCTTGCTTCAAATACTTATTCTCACGATGACCTGTGGCCAATAGGCCTTATGCACATTGTACAGATGCACGAAATCCCGTATAATCTTGTAGAATCCCGTAGACCCGGTTGGGTGTTGAATGTGCAGGACCCTATTGTGTTTACTGCTATTTCCACTATGAAATGGGCCATGAAGGCATTTCATACGAAATCTTTTTCCGGCAGAGATCTAGCTAGTCGTTAGTTCAATCCCAAAGTGAAGAAGGCTTGAAAAGTGATCGTTTGCCATGAATTGTGAGGCTAAATGGGTCAAACGCGCATGTATAGCACACAATGAACACCCAACCGGGTATGTACACACCTACGGCCATAGTACAGAACTTCGTACATCTGTACAATGTGCATAAGGACTATAAGAGATTTGTTGTTGTTCTGGTTGTTGTGTATCAGGCACTGCATGCCGTCGAGTATGATGACAACCCTGGCAGAGAGGCGGATGATAGCCATGCCAAGCCACTGCGAGTGTTCAGCATCAAAACCGCCGTTCACAACCCCATCATATCTGGTGGTACGCACTTATTTATGATGAATTTCTATTTCTTATTAACAGCGACTGCCTGTGCAGTTGGTCGTATCCGTGCCTTTCCCTTGCTTTTGGGCTGTTGGTATCATGACTCCTTGATACCGGTAACAACTTCTCAAGTGATCTTTTTGGTCGTACTTTGAAGTACATGATTGTACATGATCGTGCATGCTCAATCTCCGTTTTGACCTTTTTAGGTCTCATCAGCGGAGCTCAGAGTCTTTCGGCTTTTCTTCAATGTGTACGGCGGTGTGTCCCTGTGGTGTTTGTTACGGTCTGACTGTGATCGTCTGTGCATGTGTATATGTGTGTGCGTACGTGTTTGCATGCATGCGTGCGTGTGCGAATCTGCTATGCAGGAACCATTAGACAGCGGATTGACACCGTTACCAAGCAGAAAACCTTTGATGAGGTACTCATACAACCTGTCAGTGTTATGTGTGTGGCTTTTGAATGACTATGTCCTTTATGACTGATTCCTGAGTGCACCAGCTGAGCTTATGGTAACCCAGATCAAACTGCCCACTTGTGGAGAGTTCGGTATACTCTTAGTCAAGAGTCCGAAACCCCTCAGAGATCATTTTCTATGCTCAGCGTTCTGTCGCAGTGAATCCAAACTTCCTGCGTCGTTAGTGCATCGCAGTACAGGCAGGTCGATGCACAGGCATGCATTAGTACATGGCACTGCTTGCAGCCGATGGATGATGACATCATCACTCTCCTCCTTTTTTAGTTATGACATCATCACTCTGCTCCTTTTGGGTTATGACATCATCACTCTGCTCCTTTTTGAGTTCTGACTGTATGTAGCAGAGTGCTGCTGCACATACAGTACAGTACATGTACCTGTACAGCGTTGATATGCTATCAGACTCATGACCGACACTCACTTCAATGTATACATTGCAGGCAGCTCTTGTCACTTCATCACTATTACCTCTTCACCTTCTCTACAGATCAAGGAAAACTTCAGCTCCGGCAATCACGAGAAAGTCATCGACACGCTGGAACCTCTGTTGGACGAGGACACGTTCTCCGCGAATAAGGACCCACAGGTATGGGGTACATTCGGGTGTGTGTGTTTGTGTGTATGTGTGTGTGTGTGTGGGGGGGGGGGGGTGCTTGTAGGTGTGTGTGTGTGTGCACGACTGTATGTGTGTATGTGTGTGTGTGTGTGTGTTTGTGTGTGTGTGTGTGTGTGTGTGTGTGTGTGTGTGTGTGTGTGTGCGTGTGTGTATGTGCGTGCGTGTGTGCTGAAGGCGTAGTGTCTTTGCCGATGCCTGAATTGAATGCACTCTTTACTGTCATGCTTGTGCTCTTGTAATGAAATCATTTTGAAATACTGTAGGTCACCAACAGCGTTTGAAGATCTCTCTCTCTCTCTCTCTCTCTCTCTCTCTCTCTCTCTCTCTCTCTCCCGTTTTCAGTTCGACTTGATTGGTAACACAGCTGGCCCATCTGAACGGCATCGTCAGCTCCTTCTCCTGCAGGACGCATACTTCCAACTCGGCCGCTTCCAGGTATGGCATGCAGCTCTCTTAGTCATGATGACTTGGTAAAAAGTAAAGTCATGCGGTGTACCTATCTTGTGTACTAGTACGCTGTTTATGCAATGTAATTGATAGTTTATTTCGAAAACCTGGATGCACAGCTTTTCACTATTTACAATGTACAACAAGGTCTACTCTGCCGGATTACTCAATGAAGTTGGGCTATCTTTGTTTCACAACCCGCCTCATCTGCTTTTTTTTACAAGCCAAAGCAAAGGTTTTCCAGGAACTTATACACTTCAAAATTGGCCATTTACATGTAGATCTACACGGTTCATCTTTATAAAGAATATGTGATGTTTCAGCAGCATTGGCTGGGTGGCTTTCCGGAATATCAGCCATCGCGTGTTCTTGCTGGTCTTGAGCAGTCCTCAACGAACAAGATATTCATGATTGATGCACATGGTAAGAGGTGTTGTCTCGCTGATTGGTGTGATGCACTGTAGGATTGCCTGCGCTGTGCTGAGATCAATGTCTCCGATATCCTGAAGTCCAACGATGGCATGGACGAACACCTGGACCTGCTCAACAAGATACTGGAAGTCATACCAAAGTAAGGTGTGGAAGAAGAAAGAAAGGTGCACGTTCTGTTGTACTGTCTATGCCTGCCCTTGGCTTTCTGGATTAGGGTTGTGCATTGGTCGACATTGTTGGAGTCAAGCATGACGTGGTCCTCATAGGATATTGGTCGGTAGTTACACTGTCCTAGCGTACCACCTTGATAGTCGTCTCACGTATTATCTATGTGTGATGGGCGTGTGTGTGTGTGTGTGTCGGTGTGTGTGTGTCTGTGTCTGTGTGTGTTCGTGTGTGTGTGTGTCCTGTAGATGTCTGAAGAAACCCGGAACACTCTTCTCTAACCTTCCTAGCCTGAACCAGTGGCGCCTAGCCAATAGTCTGCTTCAGGTCAGTGTGGAATGCAGCACCAACTACACTGGCGGTAGTACTGCAAAAGCCATTATTCTAACGAGGCGCATATATAACGATTTCCCAACATTGACTAGTTTACGTGTACCAAAGGTAACGATTCTCACTCATTCTCAACGCTCAAGAGGACAGTATATGTATCCATTTCTGTATAACGATAATTTTAACGACAGATTTCTCCTCGTTAACTCGTTAGAGAGTTAGATAGTAGCACTTCGTTATATATATGGCTTTTACAGTAGCCTATCTAACTTACTGCAGTGCCTGCTTTGCTTTCTCAGCAGAAAACAAAACAGGATTTTCTATGGATTTTTCAGCGTATGCTGTTCAGAGTTGCAGCTTAGTGCCATCGGTCTCCTCGGTTCAGCTACATATCAAGTACATGCCTGAGAATAGTATACGTTTGGCTGCAGTGGAACGCAGGACCGCCGGAAGCAGTTTTCCATTGACCCGGTAGTACTAGTATCACAGCCTTTTCATTCTTCAGTACTTGTGTGTATGACATGATAGGTACACATGCCCTCCATAGTAGTAAACCCGTGCCGGTGGCCAGAATGTTGATCCGGTGAGAACCTGACCAACTGGACCAACATTCTGGCGGGCCTGGAACGTCCCATAGCGGACACCTCTCAACAAAGAACATCTGCACAAGAGTCGGGGCATGCCTGTGCAATCCCTACTGTGTAATGCTTTCTGCAATTTAGTAAGTTACATCCCCCAGGGTGTCTATAAGTGACTGATTCCACTGTGCATGTAGTTACGTTTGCCTTGTTTGCGCCGTGTTGACTTGATCTGTGTTGTCTGTCTGTGTGTGTTTCTGTGTGTTTCTGTGTATTCTGTGTGGAGTAGATCATTGACCATATGTCCATGAACCTGGAGACTTGTCAGGACACGTTACCAGTGGCATTGCCATGGCTAGTGCTGCATGTTCTTATAAAACAGTGAGTGTACACCGATTATATGTGTGCGAATGTGTGTGTGTGTGTGTGTGTGTGTGTGTTTGTTTGTGTGTGTGAGCATATGTACACATGTATGTATGTGCATGTGTACACCTGCACCGGTCTATGTTTATGGTCAGACAGCAGGAATGCCAAGTGCTGCAGAGGTAATAGAGAGGTTAACCCTTTATTACCGGATTACTTGCACAGCATGCACCAGAATTACGAATTTCAGCACAATTTCCAACTTCACCAGGTCATAACTTTGGTCTCCTTCACTTGATTTTCACAATCTAGGGCTCGTTGGAAAGCTCTTGGCGAGAGCAACGCCAGGGTACCAAGCTCCATTATCCAGTCGCCACAAATCAGGCGCAGTAACACAGCAAAGTCGTCTCCAAGCCTGATATGCAAGCAAATTCGTCCCATCAACGCCATTCCACCCTCCTTCATCGCAGAACGCTCAAATTTGTTTGAGACGATTCAAACTTCAGCCGACTACGTCATTATCATGTGCTTAGTCGCTCAAAGAGCACACGAAAAGGGATTTTCCCCAAAAATGGCGAAGTGATCGATCAAAAATTTGAATTTGCCGAGATGAGAATACGGCGCGCGATATCTCTGGCGTCCGACATCGTAACTCTTTGGCGACTGTTGCATTGGATAGCTTGGAGTTTCCGCTACCAAATAGACCTTTCGATTGTTGAATTCGCACAAGAAATGATGGAGTGACGATGATATTGCTGGCTTACAGACTTTCGATCATATATGATCGAAAGTCTGCAGGCCGGTAATAAAGGGTTAAGATGCACGTTATTTCCGACGTGACGCGCTATTTCATGTCAAATTTGGCGTAAAACTCCTAATTTCGACGTGAGCTGCAGGTCATTCGCGTTGTGTTTCGACACGCGAGCCAAATAACGCGAGGTGAACTTTTGCGTCACTTTAGAATTAACGTGCATCTTAACCTCTCTCAGGGGCCGTCCATAGTATCGGTCTTTTACACAAAGAGAAAAGTTTCGTTTATGTTTGGTGGGTCAAGGGGAGTTTCGTTTTGAAATATGTTGATACGTGAGACATCAAGGCATTCTTGCTGTCAAGTCAATCTATTTTTTGTTCAGGGGGGGGGGGGGGGTGGGGTGGGGGTGGGGGGAGGGTCCTAACTAAACTTTTTTCGTTTCGTGAAAATGTTGTGTATTTACCTGCTTCTCTTCCTCATTGCATGCAGAATCTCACCATCTGTAAGTAACACTCCAAACAAACTACCTCTCAGCAAGATTGCCAACCATGCAGCTCAGTCCAAGGAGACGACACAGCCACCAACGACAGGCGAAACACAACAGCAGAGCGATTCAGCCACTGCCGAATCTGCAGTAGGCACGGCGGACAAGCTACCGACCGACCCCACCAGCGAGACTGCACCTACACCGACTGCCTGTGATGAGCCAATGGATGCTAGCACAGACATGACAACACCTGTGATTTCCAACATGTTTTCTGCTGCATCTATTGGTAGGATTCATACTGATTCCAACTCGTCTGCTAGTTCAACGTTTAGTGCAGCGGAGCATGACCCGCTGCCAGGTCATTTCCGTATACTGCAAATGGCACATGCCATACTGGGCAGGTAAGGCTTTAAGTCACGTTTGTGCTAGTCTGACCCTGTCTCTCCTTTCTTTCTTTCTCCTACTGTGTGCGTGTGTGTGTGTGTGTGTGTGTGTGTGCGTGTGCGTGCGTGCGTGTGTGTGTGTGTTTGTGCGTGTGTGTGTGCGTGTCTGTGTGTGTGTGTGTATGTGTGTGTATGTGTGTGTATGTGTGTGTGTGTGTGTCTTTCTGTCTGTCTGTGTATCTGTGTGTGTATCTGTGTGCGTGTATGTGTCTGTGTGTATCTGTGCATGTATCTCTGTGTGTGTGTGTGTGTGTGTGTGTGTGTGTGTGTGTGTGTGTGTGTGTGTGTGTGTATCTTTGTGTGTATCTTTGTGTGTGTGTGTGTGTGTGTGTGTTTGTTTGTTTTTTATTGTCTGCGGCCGTCTTCTTTTCCAGTGGTGTAGCCGATACACGGCCTAAGACTTGAAGAGAGCTTGTGTTGTGCAGTCAGCTTGGTGAATTCAAGAACATGTCCTACTAGTATTTGAGCTGTTCTCTCCCTGTGTGTTTCGTGTTTCCATGCTCCAGACACGGTCTGTGCTGTTCTATGGATGGTCACTTGCTGCTGATCTTGGTCAAGGAAGGGAAGAAACTCCTGCCGCAGCTTGACAGCGTCACTAGAGATGTGAGTGGTGCAAGCACTGAACCCTAGGGCATTGGTGCTGTAACTTGGGTGCTACAGTACTTGTACAATAAACGAATGTGACTCTTGTGCACAGACAGTTGAGACGCTGCCACAGTCCTATTGGTGGCAGCGCTTCACTGCAGCTATGCTCTGCCAGCCAATGGATTGTCTGCACAACCTCATTTTATTTTGTAGTGTTTTAGTGTGGTTGATCCTTGAGGATGGCGGCATTCCTACGTATGCAGAAACTCAGTCTAACCCAGTCTCGATTGAGATATTGTAATTTGCAGCGAATAGACCACTTGATTTGGGGATGGTGTGTGTAGGGTAACCCAGTCTCAAACGAACTATTTATATTTCTGTGGACAATGAAGTTCTGTGAATATGACCACCACGATAGAATAACGCATTTTCGTTCCGAGTATCCACCTGTGCAGTTGACTGTTGCTGTCACTGCTGTTGTTACTGTCCTATCCCAGGAAGTGGTACGTGAACTGGAGCAGTGCTACTTTTGTCTGTACGGCCATCCGAACAAGAAGTACAAGGTATGATTGCGTGGCATGGGTGTGTGTGTGTGTGTGTGTGTGTGTGTGTGTGCGTGTGTGTGTGTGTGTGTGTGTGCGTGTGTGTGTGCGTGTGTGTGTGTGTGTGTGCTTGTGCGTGTGTGTGTTTCTAGTTTCTAGTGTTATGGTTGCTACTTGGTGTCCATCCGCCTTGGCGCCGTGAAGACCAGGCCATGAGTGTTGTGCGTTTGTAAACTGTGCTGTATGTCAGTGCATTGTGTGTGGGTGTGTGGTGGGTGGGTGTGTGTGTGTGTGGGTGGGTGGGTGGGTGGGTGGGTGGGTGGGTGGGTGGGTGGAATTCCTGCGCACTGAGACTGAATCCGACTACTAGTAGGCCATTCGAATTGCTCTCTTGAAACTGTTTTCTTGTTTGTCAGGCTCGAAGGCTGGAGGACCATGGCTCACCGCAGGTAAGCTTGCCTTTGCGACAATGTGCGGATATGTCTATGCCATGCCCCTACATACAGCATTGGAATTGTTTTTTTTAAGGCTAGATCACTTTTGTAACTCATTACACTTTATCATTCCGATCTGGTCATGTTGTACAATGTAGTGTACACCCTGATTTCTCATCGTACATTACGAGTACGTTACGAGTGCATGTCCACGAAGGCAGTACTTTTGCTGCGATGGTGCTCAACACACACACACACACACACTGTGCAGAGCTGGCCACACACACACACGCGTAGTGGACGGAATGAAAGCGGGGCAAGTTTTCAGTTGTTACCCTGAGCTTCGTGCCAAAGGCCTATCATCAGACAACCAATGGTGATGATTGCCCTTTGGCGTGAAACTCGGGGCACCAACTGGAAGGGAACGAACACGTTCAATACGAATTATTTTGTCTTATTGGCTGGCTGCGAGAGAGAACTTTGATGCATGCGTACATATTAGATTGAAGATTGATCTGCCTCCGTCCTTCGTAACCGCTGATAACTAGTACAGTCATGTACTTGTTCCATATCGTCCACTGTGTGGTACTACTACTAGTACATTACGAGTACATTACGAGCACTTTACGAGCACTTTACGAGTACATGTGTATGTCTGCTGTATGTTGCTGTTCTGCTGTAGATTGAATTAACGTGGACGCACTCCATCGATCTCTTTGAGTTCTTCTGCCCGGTGACTCAGCCAACGTTTGACAGCACCAAGATCGGCCTCAGCACGGAGCTGCTCAACCTGTTCCGGCGTATCGTCACCGTTCTCTCACGCTCACTGGAGCCAGGTCAGTTGTGCCGAATTATTTTGGGGGGGGGGGGCTGATTTGTTGCGGCGGAGATCAATGTTATTGTGTGTATGGGTGCGTTTCTGTGTACGCATGTGTGTGCGTGTCCATGAAATGGAACCCCAACACGGAATGGGCACACACAGTATATATGTAGGACTCCATGACCAGTCAAGGCCCCGTGACCGATCACGGACCCCGTGACCATTCAAACGGACCCCGTGACCATTCAAACGGACCCCGTGACCAATCACGGACCCCGTGACCAGTCAAACGGACCCCGTGACCGATCACGGACCCCGTGACAAATTAGGGCACCAGTTTTTCACTTGGGGATCGGATTTCAGTGAGCGCAACTGTGGTATGTGGCAACAGTGTCATTCCCTTGGATGTCCAGGCCTTCCTCGACAAGCCTCTCTCAACTACCAATGGCATACATGTATACGGTACAGTGCTGCTCAATGAAATCCAGTCATGTGAGTCAAGTTTGCGCCTTGCACCATTTCGTTGCCCAGTGTTCACAGGTCTATGGCCATGCGCGTACTTGACAGTTCAACTGGATTTCATTGAGCAGCACTGTTCTATGCATCCCGGGCGTCGGTATGCGAGACGAATGTATTTTCACAGATGCCAAGTCGTTGTTATCGCATCCCCCAGCGCTTCGCCAATGCCCATCACCTTGACTCCTTTCGGGCAATCAAACTTCGCTGACGTCTCGCGACGCTGCTCCGAACGCAGCCGCCTCCAACGTGGGATGTTTCCATCTTCCAGGCTTGCCATCATGCACGCCTTGCGGTTAGCACCCCAAGGGAAATAGACTTTGTACTAAAACACTGCGAAAAAAAGCTGGTAGAAACCACTCGGCAGGCAAAGCTCCGAATCTCCAACTACTCTAGTAATACAACAAATGTGAGTGCAGGTGTGCGTGTGTGAATATGGAGTTGACATGACTCTGTCCAGTGAGTTTAGTAGTAGTACACGTAGTAGTCAGTATACCAAAGCTCTAATGTATGATTCCAATTTGTTCCATAACTTCCATTGCATGTTTAGTCTTTTCCTACTGCTAACTAGGTGTGGGATGACTTGCTTTCGTCACAACATTTCCATGCATTTTGTGCTATTGTCGCGTGGGTTTCGTATGGGTCTCGCGTCCGTAGTCGTGTCTCTTTAGAATCGTTTCACTTTGATCGCTGTGTCTTTCTTGATCCTTGAGGGTGGTGGCGTTCCTGCGGATGCGGAAAACTCGGTCTAAACGAGTCTCACGCGAACCGTGAAATTTTGTTTTGTTTTTGTGCATAATAATATGCTTTGCAGTGGTGGCTCTGGAGTCTCTTCAGTTGTACTTGGAGAAGGCTGGACACGATCACACTGTCCTACCCACCACCAGAACGCAGTAAGTAGAAACTGTTTTTGTGTCATTCATGATTCTACTGCATCTCTTTGCTTTAGAAATACGCTACAGTAGTGAATGGACAGGCCAGAGTTTTACCAAGCACAGCATAGCGATATATGCAAGTTGACTCTACTGCGCATAGACTGATACATGAACGGTCCAGGCTACGAGGCTGCCCCCCCCCCCCCCCCTCCCCAGTTCTTCGTCACCCGACAGTGCCTGTACGAGGTTTCGTTCGATAGTGTGTGTTGTTGCCCTGCTCCCTTGTAAAACGCTTGGCTTCGCTTGCAATCTCCATCCATCTCTTTGCACTCTAGCTTGTCGTAGTGTCATTCCTGGCTTCACTTAATATCACCATTCGCCGCATGTGCTCTGTTAAGTCAGTTTCTATTGACGTGAGACGACACCTGCTGGGAAAGAAAACAAAACTGGATGTGTCTCTTTCACTTTGCCATAGCAGTGCTCTGTGTGTGCATTTGCTTGCAATGTACGGTCAGCGTTGCCCGTAACGATACTCGATCGTAGCACAGCATAGCGATATATGCAAGTTGACTCTACTGCGCATAGACTGATACATGAACGGTCCAGGCTACGAGGCTGCCCCCCCCCCCCCCCCCCCCTCCCCAGTTCTTCGTCACCCGACAGTGCCTGTACGAGGTTTCGTTCGATAGTGTGTGTTGTTGCCCTGCTCCCTTGTAAAACGCTTGGCTTCGCTTGCAATCTCCATCCATCTCTTTGCACTCTAGCTTGTCGTAGTGTCATTCCTGGCTTCACTTAATATCACCATTCGCCGCATGTGCTCTGTTAAGTCAGTTTCTATTGACGTGAGACGACACCTGCTGGGAAAGAAAACAAAACTGGATGTGTCTCTTTCGCCTTGCCATAGCAGTGCTCTGTGTGTGCATTTGCTTGCAATGTACGGTCAGCGTTGCCCGTAACGATACTCGACCGTGCATGAGAAAGGAGTCGTTATTCGCGAGTTCACCTAATTAGTGGTGTTGAAACTTGATAGTATATTTATGCAGTCGACTGGTCACTATATTGTAGGTGTGAAGATAGTGCCATTATTCATGAGGTTGAAAGGATGCAGTCAAGTGGTCACTAGGCCTGGAGATTGTGTCGTTATTCATGAGCTGTTGGTATACCCGAGGTCCTTATCCACAAGGGTACTTGCAAACCAGTCTTAAAGACATAAAGTGGTTTAAGGCTGTGTTGGAGTACACCGAGGCGGCCCTGTGAAGTTTTGCTGTGCTGAGTTGTGTGTGATGATGATGGCGTGTGTTACGTTCCCTGCAGGCAACCGGTGGTTTCCGAGATCTATCACTTGCTCGGCGACTTCCACCTGAAGAATGCAGACTATCTGTAAGCACATGCGTAGTCTGTGTGACGGTGCCTGTTGTGCTGCGCCTGCCACGTGTATCGGGGCCCAGCCACTGGTATGGCGGTGGGGAGGGATGGGGGGGGGGGGGGGGGGGTGAAGGTGCTGGGGGTAGCAGGATACATACTACATCTATGTAGGCTACCACTTTTCTGTTGTATAAAATATGGCTAGAAGCGACAGGAGGCATTTGGGACCTGGCTGTATAGTAGTATTCAAGCACTCTCCGCATCCATTGTTGTTTCAGGAAATCATCCAAGTGCTACATGCAAGACCTGTGCTACAACCCGGGACGCTTTGACTCCTGGGCCGGCCTGGCGCTGGCCAAATCGCAGCGCATCGAGGAGCGCGTCAATTCGGTGAGTCCGCTCTAGCCTCGCACAGTGGCACCATCAGTCCTCTGTGCTGACAGCGTACATGTGTGGATGTAGTGTTTTTGAAAAGCGACCATTGGCTTAGCGTGCTATGCACTTGGGCATGTTCATTTGTAGCTGTTTACTTTAATTTCAGAAATTTTAGGTAAGAGGGAAAAAGGAAAGGGATTGCTCCCCACACTGGATCTCGCGCTATTCCGCCGACTTGACTTGACCCTTGACGGACTCACGACTGCCATCCAGAGCACACGAGATGTCCATCGAACCTTCGACTCAGCGAACCTGCAAGAAAGCACCACTCCCTGCTCAATACACAGTGTTTCGGGGAATTCACCCCTCGCCAGTTGAGCTTGAGTGGGCCGAGGAAGATTGTGTCTGAAGAGCATTACTTACATAGTGCTCTCCAAAAGATCAGGTTAGGTGAACAGAGAAATGTTAGGTACAGAGAGGCAGTTCCCTATTGTATTATGTGTATCAGTGTGTTGGTGCGGCTATTGACATTTCAGGTATGAAAGAGATGCACCCAAAGTACCGAAAAAATAAGTACACCGAAGATTTGGGAGATGGCAGTAGTCTTTCAGCTTGCCAATGTCCAATCCAGCCAGACGAGAGTCCCAGTACTCTTGGCTAATGTACTATACATTTTTTTGTAAATCACTCGCCCGCTGTTACTTTTCCACCGTTCCCCGCAGTCTCTACTTTCTACTAGCTTCTAGCTCCGCACTGTTTTACTATTCTGATTTGTATTCTTACTGTGGTGTCTTGTATAAAAGCCTGTTTTGAATACAATCATGATTTTTAAGATACACTGTCAGCACATAAACCTGGTTTAGTGTTGACATACATAGAGATACGTGGCTTGAATAGTAGCCTGACTTGAATAGAAGACTAGCACTGACATTGGCTTATACGGCCGTAAGCACCTGCTTTTATACGCGACATCACGGTAGGTTAATGGATTTGTTTCACCTCCACCACATGCGCTATCTGGTCGACCTCATTCACACCTGCAACACGACTCCAAGTTGTCGTAGATATTGGCCAATAGAATTCCCTCTGTACAGCGCTGTTTCGACCAATTCCTAGGTTCTAGGTTCTGTTCTGCTGCGTGACAATGACGTGAGAGCCAACGTTCTTGTTGCTGTCTGTGATGAACTGTGTGTTCGTTTCCAGCTGGACACTCTGGGCAATACTGCTCGCTTCGTCCGCCGCCAGGGACAGCCGACTGTACTGTAAGTCCGGGGTTGAGCTCTGCGGCAGGCCTCATGCCATACTGGAGCACTTTAAAATATAGTAAGGTGCTCCAGTATGGCAAAAAATATATATACCGTACTCGCGCGATTAGAGCCCTCTCTTGAATAGTGCCCTACAGTCCATTCACTATTAATGTGCACTGTTATTACATGCTCCCATCATACGACTGTGTACAAATACAAGGCAATTTTTTTCTGATTGAATGCACGCTTGCTTGCTGCTCCTTTTTTTTTAAACGGATCAAAATCTGAAGTAGTGGTTGCGACTTCGGCGATGATTTGTAAGAAAGGTTTGCTCCCCACACCGGAGCTCGCGCTATTCCGCCGACTTTACTTGACACTTGACTGACTCACGACTGCCATCCAGAGCACACGAGAAGTCCATCGAACCTTCGACTCGGCAAACCTGCAAGAAAGCACCACTCCCTGCTCAATACACAGTGTTTCGGGGAATTCACCCCTCATCAGTTGAGCTTGAGTAGGCTGAGGAAGATTGTGCCTGAAGAGCACCACTTATATAGTGCTCTCCAGGCACAAACATCACCAGGGATACAAACTTACAGAGACGCTCCGCTTCCAGCGCGATAAACACCTCGTGAACACCAGATAGCAGCGTGAGTCAGTGTCGCTCCTGGACGGTGAGACAGACGTCGAGGACCCTCGGTCATTCGCAACGCTGTCACCTCCAAACCAACTAGTCGCAAGCCCGCGCTGGGCACAACAGTACGAAGTAGTGGTTGCGACTTCGGCGATGATTTGTAAGAAAGGTTTGCTCCCCACACCGGAGCTCGCGCTATTCCGCCGACTTTACTTGACACTTGACTGACTCACGACTGCCATCCAGAGCACACGAGAAGTCCATCGAACCTTCGACTCGGCAAACCTGCAAGAAAGCACCACTCCCTGCTCAATACACAGTGTTTCGGGGAATTCACCCCTCATCAGTTGAGCTTGAGTAGGCTGAGGAAGATTGTGCCTGAAGAGCACCACTTATATAGTGCTCTCCAGGCACAAACATCACCAGGGATACAAACTTACAGAGACGCTCCGCTTCCAGCGCGATAAACACCTCGTGAACACCAGATAGCAGCGTGAGTCAGTGTCGCTCCTGGACGGTGAGACAGACGTCGAGGACCCTCGGTCATTCGCAACGCTGTCACCTCCAAACCAACTAGTCGCAAGCCCGCGCTGGGCACAACAGTACGAAGTAGTGGTTGCGACTTCGGCGATGATTTGTAAGAAAGGTTTGCTCCCCACACCGGAGCTCGCGCTATTCCGCCGACTTTACTTGACACTTGACTGACTCACGACTGCCATCCAGAGCACACGAGAAGTCCATCGAACCTTCGACTCGGCAAACCTGCAAGAAAGCACCACTCCCTGCTCAATACACAGTGTTTCGGGGAATTCACCCCTCATCAGTTGAGCTTGAGTTGAGCTTGAGTAGGCTGAGGAAGATTGTGCCTGGAGAGCACTATATAAGTGGTGCTCTTCAGGCACAATCTTCCTCAGCCTACTCAAGCTCAACTGATGAGGGGTGAATTCCCCGAAACACTGTGTATTGAGCAGGGAGTGGTGCTTTCTTGCAGGTTTGCCGAGTCGAAGGTTCGATGGACTTCTCGTGTGCTCTGGATGGCAGTCGTGAGTCAGTCAAGTGTCAAGTAAAGTCGGCGGAATAGCGCGAGCTCCGGTGTGGGGAGCAAACCTTTCTTACAAATCATCGCCGAAGTCGCAACCACTACTTCGTACTGTTGTGCCCAGCGCGGGCTTGCGACTAGTTGGTTTGGAGGTGACAGCGTTGCGAATGACCGAGGGTCCTCGACGTCTGTCTCACTGTCCAGGAGCGACACTGACTCACGCTGCTATCTGGTGTTCACGAGGTGTTTATCGCGCTGGAAGCGGAGCGTCTCTGTAAGTTTGTATCCCTGGTGATGTTTGTGCCTGGAGAGCACTATATAAGTGGTGCTCTTCAGGCACAATCTTCCTCAGCCTACTCAAGCTCAACTGATGAGGGGTGAATTCCCCGAAACACTGTGTATTGAGCAGGGAGTGGTGCTTTCTTGCAGGTTTGCCGAGTCGAAGGTTCGATGGACTTCTCGTGTGCTCTGGATGGCAGTCGTGAGTCAGTCAAGTGTCAAGTAAAGTCGGCGGAATAGCGCGAGCTCCGGTGTGGGGAGCAAACCTTTCTTACGGATCAAAATCTGTTCAAATTTGAGCGAGAAAATGGAAAATTGATTTTTTTAGCTCGCTTTGCTGGCTGATTTCCGTGCATTTTCTTGCGCCGCTGCTTTGTCTTTGAAGAAGTCATGCACCTTATTGATCATCTCAACGCATCCACGTGGGGTATTCCCCTGTTAGGCTGGCGCTGGCCTACATGTAGAATCCATGGGGCATACACAATGGCCCTTTGACTGGATGGAAAAGAGTGCACACTTATATTGGCCCTTTGACTGGAAAAGAGTGCACACTTATATGGAATGGACTGTAGTTTGCAAGAGCCAGTGAAAAATAAAGCCCTCTCTTGAATAGTGCCCCCCCCCCCCCCCCCTGGTCTTGTAACCAAGCCCATGTGCAAGTTTGGTGTTCTTTTGCTAATGTTCTTGGCCATTGCTTTGCATTGGTGTTTTCAGGAACAAAATCGCAGGTCTTGTTCCCGTTTCTGTGGAGTCGTGAGCGTTTACAGTACACTTTAGGCTCTGTTTTTCTTTGTTTTATGCTGGATGATGCAAATGTACCAGCAATAAAAAAATAGTGCCCTCTCTTGAATACTGCCCCATCTGTGATGGACAAAAAATAGTGCCCCAGGCGTGCAAGTACAGTACATGTAATAGTCCAGGCATTTTTCTGTAAATGTCTCGCTTTGCAACTTACTACATGCACCTTTGAAGGTGTCCCCAATTCAAGTTTGCAAGATATGTGTGTGTATTTCATGCTGGAAATTCACCGCGGCACATTTACATGCAAGCACCAGTTTGAGCGGAAATGAAATTATTGCCAAATTTGCAGAAGTAGTATTTTGCCAAACGTTTTCTGCAGCGCAATTTGATTTGTAGCACTCTCCTGTCCATGTGGCCCACCCTCCCCTTTTTTTCCGAATCTCCTGAGTTGCAAGCACCCTCCTCTGCCGAGATGCCCCGGATAGTAGAGGGCCATGTGTGTTTCTGTCTGTGCCCCTGGTTGTTATCATTCTGAAGAAGAGACAATCGTCGAAATTTGTATAAACATATATCAGTATCAATCATTCTACAGTATAGTTTTGCTCTGTTGTGTGTTACCGTTTCATTTTATGAATCCCTTGGCTGGACCTGTGCTGGTATGGATACAGTCAGACCTCGCTTATCCGGTCCTCTTTTATCCGGATCCCTCGCCATCCGGAAGAAAATCGTTCGTTGCCGATTTACAGCGTATGCCACGCATACATACAATATGTGTGTTTGATTATCCGGTTCCCTCGCCTATCCGGATATTTTTTGTTGAAAACGGACGTGTGCGGTTAAGCGAGGTCTGACTGTATCTTACTCTGTTGTGTGTTACGGTTTCATGTTATGAATCCCTTGCCTGGACCTGTGCTGGTATGGACATCAAGCCTTTGCCAAACTGTGCTCCTTGTACGTGCAGATGTTACAGTCAAGCGTGTAGGCTCAACGGTGACAAGTGCTGCCTTCAGGAGCAGGTAATTACCATCACAAGAGATCTCTGGCGGCGGTGAACACGTCTCCGCTTTGTCATTCTGTGGCTTGCTTTTGTGCCGTTCTGAATTGTGCAGCGTGGAACACGTCGAATAACACTAATCACCCAGTGCTACTGTTTTTATAACTTTCTTGGAGACAGGAAGCTTATCACATATCAGGGAAAGAAAAACTAGAAATCTACTTTTTTCCTATTTTGGGGGGGAAAGTGTTCTTTTGCAGTACAATGCAACACAATATTGTGAGGATACATAATAACGAGAGACAAGAGGAACCCGCTAATCACCCAGTTATACTACTACTGTCGCGGACATTGAATGTTGAGAAGTCAAGCGGCTACTGGGCACTGGCCTTGCAGTCGTGAGCACTGCTGGTCCATTTTACAGTGTGTACATAAACTACAGTGCATGTATTATTATTATTATTATTATTACACGCATTCCCGCGGCAGCGTCAACCAAGCAGTTATGCTTGATCCACACGTTCGCTTATGCTGGACATTGAAACAAAGCAGATGTAGACAGCTCCTAGAGAATGGGGCTCTACAAAACCAATAATCGAAGTTTGTCCTTCAGTAACATGGAGCGTCATAAAATTGGTCTCATTGGAAAAAAGGTCATCATTATTGTCTCCTCATGTAGCATCATGGTCAATGGGTGGCCAGATAATTATACGTATGAGGTTGAGTTGCCAGATAACTATTAAAAGATTCAAATAGTAATATTATTATAGAATGGTTGTTATGAGTTTATAAGGGTGCCATGGCTGTTTCTACTCATGACGAGGGTGTGCACAAACACTCTTCACCAGCGCGTTCCATGCTGTACGGTCCACAGCAATCCACTCCAGACGGCGCAAGTCCTCAACACTCCGCAGGTGCCCATTGTTCGACTGGGACAGATCGGTGTGGAGCTTTATTGGTAGTGTCACCCTCGGCCTCCCACGGACCTCCCCTCGGGTGCCTGAAAGTATTGCTCCATGCTCAATCGTGCTGGCGTGTCCTTACCCAGGCGAAGCACATGCCCGAATAGACTCCAGCGTGAATTTCGGATCAAGTTCGACACTGGCTCCACTCCACATCGGGCATACAACGCCAAATTACTAATCTTCTGTGGCCATGTGATGCCAAGAAGTGACCTGAGCTGCCTTCTATGGAAAGCGTCCAGGGAGCGTTCGACAACAACCGTCAGGCCCCAGGTGCCTGAATTATAGAGAAGTATCGGCATGATAAAGGCGCAGTACAACCTCATACGCAGAGGCTCTCAGATCAGTCCTCGGCGCTTCCAAAGCGACCACATGGATCGGAAGGCAGCCTCGGCCAATTGCCTGCGACGTGTCACATCCTCAATGTTGCCCATACACGGTGAAATCAGTAAGGGTGCCGTCCCCGGTCATTCCATCGGATTTCAATGTCCACAACAATGTCCGTGAGGCTTCCTGCAGCTTCATCTGTGAAAAGAATTCGGCTGGACACACCCATTCCCATAGCGCTGCACATCACATCCGAACCAGGTAATAACATTTGTTATTACCTGACGATGGCCAAGTGCCGAAACGTTGTAAAAATAACGGAACTGGTTCGGATGTGATGTGCAGCGCTATGGGAATGGGTGTGTCCACCCGAATTCTTTTCACACAACAGTAGTGTTATGTTAAAGATTTCAACTACTTCAGTACTCCAGGCGTCGGTGATAGTGATAGTATATTCCGGGCCACAGCGGTTCCCATTGTAGTGCCAATGACTGATGTGTGTGTGTGTGTTCTCCCGTGTTGGTGTCTCCGTGTTGTGTGCGCGGCGTTTAGTTTGGACTGTTTGCATACGGCCTGAGCAGCCTGTCGTCGCGTTACTCTCAATCACAGGTGAGTAGATTTATTATTGCGCGCCATCTATTGTTCAAGCCAATCAAGGAGCTGAATGCCTACACACTGTGCAAGCTTTCAATACCTGCAATGAGGTTACTCGTGACTGACTTCAAGCCAATAGTACATGTGGTACCGTATTTTCACGAGTATGAACCGCACTGGAGTATAAGCGGCATCCAGATATTTTCGTCGCGAAGTACAGGCATCTGCCCTATTTATCACTGTTAATTTGACCATCGTAGCAAATTAAAAGCCGCGCTGACTTTTTCCTGGGTGAATTACAGGTGCGGCTTACACTCCGGAAATACGGTAGTTCTTTCTCTGTGGGGGGGGGGGGGGGGGGGAGGGGGGGCAAGTCCAGCTGCTATCTTTCTACTTTCCACCTGGACTATAATGATGTTGTGCCTGAGAGCAAACGGCCATTCCTGGTTATTGATCTACCAGTGCAGTCAACACCGCTTACAGTGTGTAAGACGTACTATCGTGCAGTACATACTTTTTCAGCTGACGAAAAATTGGCACGCTTGATTGCAGCAGCGCGGTTTGGAAGTACTTTTCCCTGTGTTCCGTTGTGAGCACTTCGAAGTATGTCGAATCAGGTTTTGACTGTATGCCGTTGTTTTCTCTACGTACATACACGTGTATGCTTTGTGTAGGGTGACGCCAGCGTGTCGGGCTCTGGAGACGACGGCGGCGCAGCTGGCGTCACGCTCGACAGGTCCATGCTACTGGCGCAGGCCAGGGAGTGCTTCGTGGCCTGCCTGGATCTGCACGGAGACGAAGAGGACACCTGGCTGCATTGCCTGATGCTGGCCAAAATAGCGTACAAAACCGGCGCAGCGTTGCACGAGTCACTCAACTATTGCATGAAGGTATGTGACTACCTTTGCTGTTTGGCCTGTCGCTCTTGATCTTCACTGATCAGATCTAACAATATCGAATTGCTAGCTGTCCGGATATGCCCGGATAAATACAATACAATACAATACAATAATTATGGACTAATTTTGCTCATAACTTGTTATATACTTTTTTTAGGAGAGCTAATATGTGCTTGCTGTTGCTGTATCACTGCACCGAATGCAATCAGCCACTTTCAACTGCTCTTTTTGGCGACAGGCCATTGTGAGGATTTAAAAAATTCAAAGTGCTATTGGCTTGGCTGTAGAACTGCAAAGGAAATTACTCTGCTCTCCGGTGTGTGTTTGTTCATTGATGTGTGTGTTTGCCGTTGCTGTTCTAGGCCCAGTCTTATCTGGATCTGAAGGGAGTGCATGCCAACCACTACAAGCGAGTGTCGTTTGCTAACACCACCGAGAACCTGGCTGCTCTGTCCAGTGTTGAGGTAGGTGTTGTTGTATGCATCATTGCTGCAACCACTGTTATTGCTGCTGTTGCTGCTGCTGCTGTTGCTGCTTGGTCGTGGACGATGAACTGGATATCCAACATTAGTGGTCATGCTCAGCTGTGAATGGTATTATTCTGGTTGCGGGGTATCTTTCAATGTGCACTTCGGCACCATGTCTAGTGCATGCACCGGTAGTTGGAACACACATCTTCGGTGTGAATCTGCAGTGTTAAAGCCTGATATCTGTATTCAGTTGCAGTCAGACCTCGCCTATCCGGTCCTCATTTATCCAAATCCCTCGTCATCTGGAAGAAAATAGCGGGTTACAGATTTACAGCATACGTAACGCATCCAACGTAACCGGTGTTCGGTTATCCGCTTCCCTCGCCCATCCGGATATTTTTGTGGAAAACGGATGTGTGCGGATAAACGAGGTCTGACTGTATATGTCTGTGTACTGCAGTGCTGCTCAATGAAATCCAGTCACGTCACTCAAGCGTGCGCCTTGCATCATTTCCCAGCCCAGTGTTCACGGGTCTAGGGGCGCGCATCGCCCAGTGCGTACTCGAGTGATGCTGCTGGATTTCATTGAGCAGTGCTGTAGTGAATGGTGGAATCATCTGATGAGTATACTTTACTGGTAAACATACTGCAAAACCGGAAAGTTTAGCGACCAAAAAGTTTAATGTTTTTGTAGTTTTTGTAGTTTTGGCATGATGACGTGCAGAAAGTGTAACAATGATTACCTAGCCACCCATTTGTATTCGCATCTTTAGACAGACATCTCAAACCGGGTTCGCGATAAGGTTTCTTTTAAATAACGAAAAAATTAGTTGTTAAAACGTTAGACTTTGTGACTCGTTAGACTTTCCGGTTTTACAGTACTTTGTTAGCAAGCATGTTGTAATTGCTGTTTCATTCCATTCTCTGTGCTGCTCAGATCTTCTACCGCTTGCATGTGATCATGCTGAAGGCACTTCTGAAGGGCGATGCGGATGCAGAGCAGCTGGACACAATCCGCACCTACCTGAAGAAAGCCAGAATGCTACCGTTCGCCGTGGCAAACCTTACCACCGCCAGTGCAGCCGGGCTAGCTTCGACATCGCAACAGCCATTGCCCGAAGTCGGCTCTCCGCCTTTCTCGCCATCCGCAGCAAGCAACGTGGCAGCAACAGCCCAAGACTCCGTGAATGCCCATTCATGTGCGCCCTCTGCTTCAGAGGAGCACACGACAGAGCCAACAAGCACCACGGCAGCAGCAGCAGCAGCAGTGGGGGCGGCCATCGCACCAACCTGTCGCATTGCCACACGGAGCAGGAGCGGACGGTCTGAATCGCACGAATCGTCCGCCAGTTCTGCCGAAACCAAGGAAAAGGACAAGGACGGGGACGGCAGTCAACATCAGGACTCAGTCTCGAGCCACGACGGCGACAGTCAACCCGAGCCTTCCGCTCAGGCTGGCTCGAAAGAAGACGGCGCCTGTGCCGCCGACGCCAGCGCGGGCAGAAAGCGCAAGAGAACGCTGTCCAGCACCAGCGTTGACAGCAAGACGTGTGCTGCTGGCAGTGGCAACGGGACGTCAGCTCCCTGCTCCACAATCCTGGAGGCGGACGACGGCGAAGATACGGCTGATAGTGGTGCAGATTCGTCTGCAGCCGGGCTGCTGAGACAGTGCATTGGGCAGCTGACGTTGTGCGCGCGCGGCTTCTCGCGGCACTATCGCACCGTCTACCGACTCGCTCACTTCTACTACTCCGACCCGCAGAAGAAGGTTAGCATCCGTGTAATGTCGGGGTTCTGGCTCTTTGCCTTGTGGCGAGTACATTCTCAGCCTCTCTCCCTCTCTCTCTCTCTCTCTCTCTCTCTCTCTCTCTCTCTCTCTCTCTCTCTCTCTCTCTCTCTCTCTCTCTCTCTCTCTCTCTCTCTCTCTGTGAACAGTGTTTGCGCTGTGTTGAACTTTGTAACGTGTTGTAATCGTGCCACTCTTACCATACCGTAAAAGTCCGTAAATAAGTACGTATTTACTTTCGAATTTAGTGACCACGCCCGTACTAACTTTCGGGCGGGTACTGACTTTCAGGCACAAACTAACTTTCAGACACTGACTTGTGTGACTTGTGTGACTTGTGTGTAGTGGAGAAGTCATTTTCATGTAGATGTACATGCTACACACTGCATGTGCGCATCGTACCTGTACTTATTTCGGGTAGTATGTTTATCGGGCTTGACTTGACTTCAACAGACAGAGCCAAAAGAATGAAGGGGGTATTTCTTTCGGGCAGGTACTTATTTACGGACTTTTACGGTAATATCACCATGGGAAGAGTGGCACATATTATGGACTATTTATAGGTTTGAGGGAAAGCCGTAAACGGGAAACGGGTGAACTGTTGTTGTGATTTTATTTTTACCTCACCCGATTAACAGGCAGGATAATGCCTAGTCACAAGACCAGGTCTTTATTATTATTATTATCATTATTCTCGTATCCGTCTCGAATGGGACTCACGATGGCAGAATTGATTGAGCATGTGTGTGTGTGAGAGTGGGAAAACAAAATGAAAAGGAGTGTCTAGTAATAAGAGTCAAATATTTAAGAATAGGTCTAGAGACCCGGTCTAGTTCTCACAAATGATTTTACTGTGTGCTTTTGCTTGTCTTGTGTAGAATTTAGAGCGCAGCCGTGCCCTGCTGTTGCATGGTAGCAACAGTGGCGGTGGTGGTGGCAGCACTGACGCGTGGACTGCCCAGCTGCCGCAGTGCTCCCTGTTCCGCTTGAAAGCGCCCTTCTTCCAGGTACAGTCTCAGCGCGGCGGCGGTGACGAGGCATGATGCAGTGGCGGATCCAGGGGTTCCGCAGAACCCCCTAAATTCTGGCAACTTACTGGCAACCATATGCGTGTCCATGTACATGTATCAGCTATTTAGTTTTGACTATACTGGAAACCCCCCTGTAGAGATCGCTGGATCCGCCACTGCATGATGCAGTACTTGAGTCTTGGGAATAACGCATTCTTGGTTTTATCATGGCTACCATGGGCACTGACTCTGTTCTCGCTCTCCTCTTTCTTCTGTGATACTCGGTCTGTGTAGAGATTGTGCTCGACGTGTGAAGATGTTGTCCTTTATTGACACATCGGTCCAGAACAGAGACATATGCGATTGTAAAAATCTAAGGTGCCCCTGACTTTCACGAGTCCTCATATGAGATTGTATAGTCAATATTTTGTCGGGTGGTAAAAGCCTTGTTCGTACCTCTGCACGCATGATGTAATCCACTGGTACATCTTAAAAGGTGCTTCCAAAGTACTTTACTCTCTTGTTGCAACGATTGCCAGGGTATTCAGTATTCCTTACTTTTCCTCATGTACTTGTTTGTCTTTCTCTTTCTCCTATCCAGTTTTGGAAGAGCCCCATTGAAGAGCTGGAACGGTAAGGCCGATAGTGCAAGGTAGTGTGCACACATAAAAGCATGCCTTTGTTCTGCCCCCCCCCCCCCCCTTCTCATTGGATCACGGGAGAGTGTATTCATCGGGCTGTAAAGTGTTAAGTCTGCACGTGTGAACAATCATCTTCGCATCCGTTGCTCTTTTCACAAGTTTCCTGTGTTTTCTTCTCTGCTCTCTTGTTGCAGGCCGGGCAGTTTTGTTTGCCACATCAACCGCTCGCTGTCTCTACTGCAGGACGTACTAGTGGAGCTGTCAGACACCACTCATCTCCTGGCCGTCGCCCAGTACCTGCACAAGAAACCAGAGCAGGCCAAGTAAGGTGTTCTCTAAGTTAGTGTGTGTGTATGTGTGTGTGTGTGCGTGCGTGCGTGTGCGTGGTGTGTGTGGGGGGGGGGGGCAGTAATAGTAGTAACTATACCAGTATTGTGCTACAGTCAGACCTCGCTTAACCGCACACATCCACTTCCCACAAAAGTATCCGGATAGACGAGGGAACCGGATAGCCGAACGCCGGTTATATTGGGTGCATCACGTATGCTGTAAATCTGTAACCAGCTATTTTCTTCCGGATGGTGAGGGATCCGGATAAAAGAGGACCGGATAAGCGAAGTCTGACTGTATTGTGCACCCCGTGTGTTATCAAATAAAGACAAATTTCTCGATATTGTGCTGCTGGTCCCTATCATTAAGTGTCTGCTTTAGTGCATAGCTCACTGTACATGTATGTCTATGAGCTAACACTAACGCTGTCACCTTGAGCTGACTTTAAATTTAAACACTTTGCTGCTCCCTAACCGTTATAGTGATTGGCTCAGAGTCAACTTCAGACAGTCTCTCTGGGCTAGCCTGATGAGACCTGGCAGTCGAAACTGCTAACCTTTTCTGATGCCCCCCCCCCCCCCCCCCTCCCCCTATTCCCCTTGTTCATTCTGCTACAGGAAGTTTCTTCACGACACAGACCGCGTCGGCTGGGCAAACAAGGTTAGCGCGTACGCTAGAGAGCTTTTGAAAGTGCTTGCTTTGTGCAGAGAAAAGGAAGAGAGTTGTAAAAAAGCTATCTCGAGGAATTTATTTAAGGTATTTGTTGCTAAATTCCGCTATGCAAATGTATCTTGACACCAAGCCAGGTGTCTGAGAAGTTTACCGTTCAAAAGCCAGTTAGTGATTGGCTAGATAACTAGTTATTATGGGTCAGAATTACCTTCAGTTTCGGAGACTAACTATTTTAATTTTAATTGCAGTGGAAAAAGACCTTGGTTGTGAAAGTGTCGGAGAGATGTTTGTACATGCACTTGCGTCTGTTCCTATACTTTTAAGTTTTTTTCATTTAAAAGTATTTTTGCTGCCCTGCCTATATGGTGTCCAGATGCTCAAGTCCTGTATTACACTACTAGGCAAGCAGCTGCGACAAGAGGTGCAAACTCTGCTGGATGGTATACCAGCTGAAGATGCCGATGCTGCGGGTGAGTGATGAGCCTGGTCACCGCAGCCTGTCATTCCCACTTGCCTTTCTTCTACTACTGGGTGGCAGTGACCCTGACCCATATCTGTGGTGTGCAAGCTAGGTTGCTTGGATTACGCACATATAACCACCCACACATGTATAACCACCCACCCACACACACATAACCACCCACACACACATAACCGCACACACACATAACCACCCACACACACTTAACCACCCACACACACATATAGCTACCCACACATATAGGCAGCCTTGTAACCTAGGCCGTTCTCATTCCATCATCAAATTTCATGAACTACACGTACAGTCTACGCACAGCGGAGTCACCGTGTATATGTCATGCAGTCATGTACATGAGTATGCTGTATTTGGTGAACTTCTAGCCTGTTCGGTCTTCGACACTCCATTCTTCGGCGCCCGGCAGTACTGTACAAACCTGCGGGACGAAATTTGAGCATCGCATTACATTCTGCACGCGATAAGCTACTTTTTAAAGTTTCATGGTGTGTACGTGTATCTGTTGCGTTCCTTGCAGACGCGTCGCCCAAGGAATCGTACCCATCCGTGGTGAGTTGCCTTAATGGCTACACTCTGGTTTGTCTTTGCATTGATCATAGCTGAATGGTGACATTGTATTCACTGCGTAGGCAAGCAAGTACAGTCATTGTCAACCTTAGGAATACCGACCCTCGATCATGCCTTATACAGGTGTCGTTCTTCGCGAGTGGTCATTATTCGTGAGGTTGAAGGCATGTAGTCAAATGGTCATAAAGTCTGAAGATCGTGTCGGTATTCGCGGGTTGTTGCTATACTTGAGGTCGTTGTTTGCGGGTAGTTATACCTGAGGTTATTCTCCAGGCTGGCTGTAGAGTGTGAGCTCGGAACCATGGACATGCGTGCAGCTCGGCTACATGCTGGTTTTCTCATTTGTTGCACAGCTGCACAATCTGCAACAGTGACTGACGGCCACTTGCTCTTGTCTATCTTTGCGTTGTTGCTTGTCAGGAATCGTACGCCGGTTTGCTGGAGTGTCTCGGTGCGCTGTTCAACGTTCGCAGCACTGCCGTCAAGGCCAAGTTTGACCAGACGGTAAGCCAGCGTGCAGTCTTCTCGTGGACGCAACGTGATGGTGCCATGTGCGTGTGTATGTAATGACTTTGACTGTTCGGATAGTTGTTATAATTTGGTGTTCTTATTGTCCCCGATCTCCAACGTAGTCACCCAAGCATGTACAATTTTACTGTTAAACAGGTTATTTTCGGTTTAACTTTAATTTCGGTGATTTCGGTAGAAATACCAGGCACCTAAATTTAGATTACAGCAGGACCTAAATTGCACAAGAGTATTGTGATGTATGTGAAGGGAATGTTGGCCCCCTAATTCTAAGTTACACCTGAAACCCATCAGATCCCTGGCACCGAAATATAAATGCACCTAAAATTACATCCTAACCGGTGTGCCCACTTCATTCCTGATGATGGTTATTTCATGACCGAAACGTTGAAATATAATTATCGCCCCTCCCCCCGAGACACACACATCATAGCACTGTAGAATGGGGTTGCATTTTTGTTGTTTTGCCATGTGATTATGCAATCACCATTGTGAAATGAGGGTTGCCTGCTGCTCCTCGTTGATAGTATTGAAAGAAAAAAAATCAAGCCCATCTGCTGCTGCTAGCTGCCAGAACTGATGCTGACACTGCGATCGCCACCTCCAACTGCTGAGGTGCCTCGTGCCTGTAGGCTGTGTAGCACCACCACAGCTTGGTCCGCCCTGCGTTGCCCCGGCATCGTACTCTCGTACACAGGCCATGCTGCCGCATTCTCGCGTTGTGGCCTTTGTGAGTACGTCTTACACCATTTGCGTATGCCACGCGCTTATGCGGCCCGTGCTGGGCCTCTCTTTTCTGTCTTCCTGCCCGCGGCCCACCTTACCTGGTGAGCTATCGTGCCTTATTTTCCATATAAGCATGGTGGTGTCTGTTATCGTGGGTCCGATAGCCCCCGGGGACTTCGCCTTTTCCATACGTGATATGCATTTCTCCGCCTGGCGCTGTACTAGTCCTTACCCCGTACCGCCTTGTTGCAGTTTTATCTTGCATGCTCGGTTAGTACTAATACTACTATGCGTTGGCTGAGACTTAGTACGCGCGCCGCGGCTGGAGCCCTTTTGTGCCACGAAAGGACCTGCTTCCTAATATAGAGACTGGGCGCCATGCCCGCGCCCTGTCTGCCGTAATCCTTGCATTATTAGAGAGGTTGCGCACAACGAAAATTCGTTAGATTTCGACCGTCCGGGTTCGAGTAACGAAAGTTGCTCCGAAGATCCGTCCAAACGTGACCGAAACAGAGCAGATCTACGAAAATATTTTTCGTTACCTGGAGTACTAAAATACTGATATTTTACAACTCCCTGTCTTGACTCTTCGTACCCGCGCGGCCGCCGCGTCGACCCACTACGAAAACGTTCACGCGTTGTGCGCAACCTCACGGTTTACGAATATTCGTTAGCTTTTTTCGTTAAAAATATTCGTTACGGCGCTACGAATTTTCGTTGTGCGCAACCTCTCTAATACTAGCGCTACAACCTTCATGCAAATATGGGGTAGTCTCGCCTGTGGGCGTACTAGTGCTCCTGGTGCAACCTGGGCTTTCTACTAGTACGGTTGCCCGCCATTGCATGCCAGACACCCCCATTGTTGCGCGCCTAGCCACGCGCGTGGCTTTTGCCTGCTGCTCGGTCGTCCGCGATAACTGCGGTTTGCCGTACGCTGCAAACCTACATTATTTTTCTGGTGAAAAGCAGTGATTTGAGTGTGAGCCAGTGTTGCTCACAACTAATTTTTTAAATTACATGTTTAACAGTATATAGTCGTGATGGACCAGGCCCGAAAATTTGGTGGAAAAATTATACTTTGATTCGCAGTGGAGAGACCGTTATTGGAGATGGGAAGTGAAATTTATTAAATTTGGTTTTCCTAATTCTTCGCTGGTTAGAGGGAAAGACGCAAACAGGAAGGGTCAGAAGAAAAAATTGACTGTCACCACCAGGACTCGAACCAGGGACCCTCGCCTGTAGCCAGCGATGCTATACCCACTGAGCTATGGTGTAGTCGTCATCCGTCATGCCGTCATGGTGTAGCCGTCTTCCTAATTATTGTGAGCAAGCATCTGAATATTCATGAGTCGGGGGGACTGAAAAGGGAAAAGTCTGCAGAAAAATTGGCTGTCACCACCATGATCTGAATGTTATGCTTTGAATCACGGTGTTTGTATGAACGCAACACCGACCCTGCGAACACCATTGTAACCCGGTCCTCTCTGCCGTTGCTTCTATGCACAGGAGCTTGACTGCCTGTTTGTGGAGGCTGGCCAAGTGCTGGCCCCGTGGATATTTGCAGAGGTGAGTGGTAGTGCAGATGAGAGCCACAACCCTTACTATAGGGCTTGAAAGTGATGACGTCAAAAAAACGGCCAGGGAGTAGTAAGTTGACATCAGATTTCTATTTTGGATCCACTAAGGTGTGACTTTGATATTGCCTCAGTATGTGGGTGCATAGCAACCCACTCATGTCGTATGCAGGGGTGACTTTTACTTCGCCACCAGTTGTAACCCCGCCCCCAGTAGCCAAACCAGTCAGTTTCACTGGCTACATCACCTTGCTGTGAGTAAGACGGCTTGAAATGTGCTTGGATCCATACGAAAAACTGGATCCAAGTGGATCCAGTTTTTGAATTTTTGAAATTGTTGCTATGCTGTGACGTAGCACTTTCAAGCCCTATTACGAGTTTGTACAAGAGTACTAGTAGTCTAGTACATGAAACCCAGAGTGTGCAGCTTGGGGATTTTTCTACTACACGTGTCTGTCACGACGGAATTCCGTGCCTACATCATCTTTGCTGCAGACCTGAGGCGGCAAGTGGCGTAGTGCGTACAACTGAGCTGCAGATGTGCAGAAAGAGACCTGCTTGAATCCAGCGTGTACGCACTACATCACTGAAATGATGTAAAAATCACGGAATTCCACCGTGACAGCAACCCATCAGGGTTGCACACTCTGGTTTTCATGTACTCTTGGTTCGTATGGAGCGGTTTCACATCCTTGTCATGTGACTCAAGTATTTGTGCGGAAAGTGATCATCATAATTATGTGCACAGTGGAGCCAACATGGCCGACATTATGTGACCCATACATGTAGATGCAAGGGTTGACTGCAGTTGGAACCAACATGGCTGTTCTGTACGGTCATGTGATACATGTGAAAACACTCTATTGCCTAGTCCATTCACAATCACGCGGATGCAGAAAACTCTGTTTAACCGAGTCTCACACAAAACATGAATTTTCAAAAACTTTCACAAGCACATCGCTTCTGTTTTGCTTACGAAGCGTCCACATCCCAGGTCAGGTCCTAGGTAGTGTAATAGTCTTCTTCGCTTGAGATGTTAGAAATTTCTCAAAATTTAGCTCTGTCGGATAAATTTTCTTTATTCTGAGGTACTTTCATACACCCTCCCTGATGAAGCCCCAAGGCTGAAAATCTGTTTGGTGAGATGTGAGATGTAGTTGTTGAATTGCAGCGTAAGACCATGGTGGTGGTGTCGGTGATACTAGTATTTGGTAACAGATTACGTCGATATTGTGACATGTCCGTGTGCCCGTTGCTTGTCGTTGTTGTACAGAAGAGTGCGGAGTCGATTCGCGCTGTGTCACGCGAGGAACTGATCTGCTCCACCATCGGCTTCCAGCAGTACTACCAGTCTGCCAGTGCAGCCGCTTCACAAACCTCTCAAACAGCAACAGCAACAGCAGCATCTTCATCACTTTCCATCGGTCTCTTGTCCATGGACGTCACTAGTCAGACCGTTCCGGACGCCAACAGTCAGATGGCTGCGCCCAGCGTAGCAACGACGGGTACTGGCAAGGTTGGTCAGCATGGCGCTATGTGCTCGTGTGTGTGTTTAGCTGTATTGTCCTCGGGGATCGTCTTTGGATTGGATTGGTTTATTCAATGTCGAAGAACGAACAGGCAGTGTTGCCTTATTGCATGAGATCGACTACAGGCACACGAATATAAGGAAAAAGGAAAAGATTTAAAAAATAGAGTTTTAGTCTTACCCATGTTTAGTGCTGGTTACCATGGTTACTGTCACATAGCTTGCTGCAGTGCAGTCATGTAACGTTGAGGAATAAATTGAACAAAATAGAGATCATCCCAAGTAGCTACTGGTACTTGTGGGAAATTGGTCCATGCAAATTTTGCAGCACTTTTGAATGCATGGCGAATTGCTTTCGGTTATCTAGCTGTGTACATCAGGGAGTCGTAAAATACCGTATTTTACGACTCCCTGGTGTACATGTAGCTGTGATGTTCACTGTTCAGCCATGTCGGACTGTACATGTGCATTGTATGTACCCCGCAACTTGTAAATGTGTGTACTGAAGTCTTGTCATGTCTTTCTACCGTTTGTTGTTGTGCCGTTAATCACACTATTGTATTGTTCTGTGATTGCACTATGTTCCCGTGTGTGCCATTCAGGCCGATGCCGCCTCAAAGACATCGGCGTCAGCCTCGTCCTCGGGCAACTGCGTAGCGTCCGCTCTGCGCCACATGAGCGTAGTGCAGGCCGCTCGTCAAACTCGTCCAGCTCTGCTCGCCATCGGTGTGCCGCGGCCGGCAGAGGCAACTTCGACAACTGAACCAGCTGCGGAGCTCTCCCCTAGCGCTGTTTCACATGTGGAGAACGGTCACACTCCTGTCAGCAACGCAGCAGCATCAGTAGTGACCTCGCCTCGGTCGCCGACGCATCCTAACCCTACGCCAACACAGACATCACCACAGTCAAACCAGCATCCGCTGTCATCTCCTCCGAACAGTGCTCCGCTGGATGAGCCGCATGTTGACGAAGAGACGATGGATGAAGACCCATGAAGTGTGTGTGCTGTTTAGCCATTCATGAACATGTCGGGAGCCAGCCAGCCTCCGTAATGAAGTGGTGGTGCTATGTACAGTCGCTGAGTGCAATTTGGGCGTATTGTTCTAGTTCACACTTTATACAGTGCCAAGGTTTAGTGTGCACGAGTCTTGAGTGATGTATTGTAAGCTGTAGAGATGACGGATGTTTCTTTTCCCCGTGGCATCTTGACCGTGGCTGTGGAGTGTGTGTGTGTGTGTGTGTGTGTGTGTGTGTGTGTGTGTGTGTGTGTGTGTGTGCGTGTGTGTGTGTGTGTGCGCGCGTTGATCGGTAGGCCGAACCGGCCGCCACGTTGCTATGAATGGCGGTTTGCAATGGCTCTCAGGTTCCCAAAATACTACTTCTCGGCTGCTGCTGTTGTTGTTTGAAATCTTTTATTCTCACATTGTTGTTGTTGTTGTTGTTTATTCAGTTTCTTATCTCTGCCTATGGTAGCCGGCTTAGTCTGTGATCACTGATGCTGTTACACTTTTTTAAAGACTCTTGGCGATTTCTATTTTTGCGAAAGTGTTTGCGTTCCATTGTCACCGCGGGCACTCTTTTCCTTTGGCTTTTGTGTGAATAGAGAAATATGTATTTATTTCAAACGTATCATTATGACTTCTGCCTAGTTTTGGTGCATGAAATCCGAAGCAATGTACATGTACATGTACCTGGTAGACAAGGCTAATACAGTCATGACATTGGGCGTTTTCGATTACACATTTGGGCCCAGGTTTTACAATTCTCGAATGAACGGATTTCGGCCATGTAAACGAACGACTACACATAAAATCGTAAAAGGGGATCAGGTGGGATCCTGAGCACCCTCGCGCACGTACGTGGACCTAGCATGGCGTTAAACGTCGAGTGCGTCAATTCAGGAATTAGCAACTCCGCCCTCTCTTCAGAATTGACGGAATTGGAATTGACGACGGAATTTGTGTAATCGAACGGTGCATCCAACACAACTAATTCTAGAATTGACCGAAATAATGGTGTCTAATCGAACGCTTCCATTGTGATCTCGGGTTTTTTTTTACCCTGTGACTGGCCCGAGTCCTAGATCCTGCATGCAGCTTGTGACGTCGGGCCGATTTGATAGTTCAATCTTTATCGGTAGTTTTCTCTGTTGGCTTCACATAATTATTTCCACTTTGACGTGTTTCTACAGTCCATTCATAAAAAAATGGGTCCTGGCTCTGGCGAGCTCCCGTATTTGGCGATTTTTCGTGATTTCATCGTACACAGTGCAGCGCTGCGAACTTTGAAATTTGAAAAAGGGTCCAAAAAGGGTGCCTGAACTGGGGTTCGAACCGCAGAATGCACTGTCGCAGGCGGGGTCAAACGGCCTGCATTTTGATGGTTTTTCCCAATTCAGTGCTTTTGGGGCAAAACCTGGCCGAAATCCTATTCTTGCTATGGCTTGCTTTTTGGACAAAAAAACTTCAGAAACATAATTGGAAGAGGATTCCATATGGGATTGCAGAAAAAAATTCTAAAAAAACTCAACGTTTGACCCATTTATGGCCAAAAGCTAGAAGTTCATTTTTTTCTGAATGGACTGTAGAATCAAGTCGACCCAACGACTTGGCCAGAACTGTCAACTACTATTACATGTAGATCTACAATGACTAGTATTTTTACTTACCAGTCTTACCATGTACCACACTTGCAAGCAAGCAGCATGCAGCGTACTTGTCTATGTCCGGCAACGACGTGCAGCACCGTGTCAAATCATGGAGGAGAAAACTTCAGAAAAGTGCACAAAAGCCTACACACGTACACAGAGCGAAGAACGAATGACAAGTGACAGACATACGTCTCCGACTGGCTCGACAACTACTTCTTTTGTAACTGACTCGACTGGGACTGGAACTTACTTGTGGAAGTCAAAACTGCTATGCACTGTCTGTACGTCTACTCGTATCAAGAAATCTGTCGGCTTCGACCGGACAGCAGTGCAACAGCAGCTACACTGACAGTACTTCGCTGTACATAATCTGTGAACGCTATGCGCTAGCGCTAGCAAACAGTTTAACCCTTTGTGGGTCTTACTCAATGTATGTGAGGGGTGGTCACGCAAACACGCGCACAAACAACCAGCCATAACTCAAGTTCTGTGGGTTGTAGGTATGGGTAAACTATATATTTTCAAAATCTGTATGCTTGGACGAGTCCAGAAAACACAAATATGACTATGTCCAGGCAAGGGTATGACCCGTGGTAGCCCTTCAAGTTGAGAGAAAATACAATTGCGAACAAAAAACACAAAAATCACAGCACGAAGTGCATACCAAGTTCGTGATGGAGCTGAAGTCCTATGATAAACAATCAGGTAAGCGCTACGTCTTGGTGAAGAATATATGCTCCTAATTCCGTCCTGGAACTCCAACACGTCGCCATCGGCGAGGCACCAGCAGCAACAGTTCCACAATATCACAATTTTGGTTCGTTCAGCTCAGCGCCGCTCGCGTCAGATTCGCTCGCTCAGATGAGTACGAGACTCGTACTCAGGCGCGATGTCACGCATGCCGTGATTCTCACGGCCAGGCGAATCAGCTGATCGCACCTGACAAGTCCTTGTAAGAGTTGCTGTTGCTGTGCTTCCTCGCTGGTTGGTATATTTGATTTCTTCATTCGGGGACGATTTATTTGAGCTTGGAGGACTCAACGGAGCTCTCTTTCTCACCACATTACACTGGAAATCCTCCAGGGACATCCAGCCTAGACTGGTGCCGTCAGTGTCCTCAGAAAGCTTTTCTGACACGGCCTCAAGAGATGCACTCCCATTCTCGAAATGCGCGCATGGCGGATGTTCGTCTTTTCCAATTTCACCAGACTTCAGTGAATCAATACTGCAAAAATTTGTATGGTAAGTATGGTTGTTTTTTACACCGTTGGAAAGCCTTGGACCTCAGCTACACGTGGAGCACCATTTTAGTTGTCTCCTAGCAACAAAACTCACTGAAAATACGATTTTGCTGTAAGGGTCACATACGACCCTTACGCTTATGTGAGACCCATAAAGGGTTAACTGACAAAGCTCGAACAACGACATGTCGGGCAAATCGCGGGAAACACGGCTACCATTGGCAACGCATAGTTGAAATTTTGAATGAGACGTGAAGGAGAAAGTTTTCTCGGATGTGTTTGTTTGTCTTGTGTTGACTTGAGTCTCGACGGTGGCTGTCGTTTCGGGGGCCTTCATGGCGATGTTCGATCTGTTTCACCCGTTTCCAGCCGCCGGAGAAGTGTAGTAATTCATAGTTATTTGCAGAGATGACGGACTTTGATTCTACTCGACCCGTTGCTCGCACGTACAGTCGTGGCAAAGTCGCTGCTGATAGAGGAACTGACGATGATTTTGATTTCGTGAAGAAAACACCTGAGCCGCCAGCCATAACCCCGAAGGCCTTGGCCGCGAAAGGCAGTTGGGGAAGGAGAATTTCCAAAAAGAAGGACAGCTCGCCAAGACCGAAGGCGGCTGCGCCATCAGCCTACGACTGGGAAGACTCTCCCGACGAATTCTCAACGCCGAAAAGTACTTCAAGTTCTGCTCCGGCTGGCCTGCCGAAAAAACGCCGTGGCATATCGTCGGTGGTGAGCGTGTCTCTAAAGAGCAGCGTCTCTGTCAGGAATGGCGTGTCTGTCACGAGTAGTGTCGCTGTAAAGTCCAACACACACGTGGCAATTAGTGCTACAACGAGAACAGCCATATGCCAGACGTCGTCGTTTGCTGATGACTTTTCTGCCAGCTGCAGCGAAGAGTCGCAGTCGCAGTCTCAGACTGATAGCTCTCAAGACGCGAAAGCAAAGCCGAGCAGGTCGATGTCAGAGTTGACCCAGAATGGATTCAATGGCCTACTTTTCTCTGTAAGCGTTGTATCTGCATCTGCATTGGCTGTTTACCACGGTCACATACACACACACACACGCACGTACACACACGCACACGCACGTACACACACCACACACACACACACGCACACGCACGCACACTCACTCACACTTATGTGTGGAGAACATCGGAGTATTGTGAATTCAGCCGTGGTAGTTTGCACGGGGAACCCTATCCAAGTGTTTCAGCAGTAACTGCGTATTCCAAAGCGTGGAACCTTGGATCTGTTAAACTTTCAGGCATAGTATGTTCCGCCGCAGCCGCATTGAAGCGAGCCAGAATCATTCCTGTGCACACATCAAAGTGACCTACCATGGACTTCCGTGCTTATCGCGTTGAGCGACCTTGTTGTGTACATGTCTTGTCTAAAAGCATATCTCGTATAGAAGCCAACATGTATGGCCGATTGGTTTGCAGGCCTGCCTGCGAATCATGAGGTCCCGAGTTCGAGACCCGCGCTGGTACAGTGGTAGCAGGGAGCGTGTAAAAGACTTTTTACGTGTGTTGAACTGCGCCGACACCCACGGTCAACTGGGTACTCGCAGCTCGGAGTGAGAATAACAAGGATGCAGTTTACAGGGTTATGGGCCGTTACACGCCCGATTGGTTGAGAGACTAACCTCCTCTCCCCTGACTCACTTTCTAGGTCAGCATTCACCCCTAAGGTGGACAGGCATAGTGGTGGCCTGCGGATGCGAAGGCTAGTTTGGGTGTTTCTGAACATTCAAGCGATGCAACGCGGATCCCGCGAATATTATTATTATCAGAAGCCTGTTTTGAATTCAAGCCTGATTTTTTCGAGATGCACTGTCGGCACATAAGCCTGGAGTTAGTGTTGACATACATAGAAATACCTGTATTGTATAGAAGCCTATATCATATTTATAGAAGCCTGCAAAATTCCCCCCAAAAGTCGTAGAAGCCGCGGCTTTATACACGACTTTACGGTACTTTTTGCTGGACTGTACGTTTGCTGGCGGTGTGTATTTATTGGCGACTTTAGCAGAGCGGATCCTGTGCGCGGCGATGCCTTAAGGCTGGTTGCGAAGCTAGCGCATCAAGACAATGCTAGTGGTATTCTGCTTGTCGGCATCATCACACTTTGAATCGCGTATTCGTGTCTTGAGTCAGCCATTATTCAACACTCCTGTGACTTACACTACATGTTTTACCCATACATGGACGGCACTATGTGTATGATGCTTTGCCAGAGGAATCGACCATATTTAGCAGCATTCCAGGGTGGCAAATTTGCAGTAGTATCCAAATATGGATTGCATGAGGAGTGCAACTATGTGACCGATGTATGAGGTCTATACATGGTACTGCAGCCAAATACGGCCGGGCCTCTCAAATACGGACAACACGGGGACTGCATACTGAAGTATGTAAAATCGCCTTTCCAGGGAGATGTTCTGGTACACTGAATTAATGTTGCCCTTGTTTGAAAGCGCTTTAGGAGCTGCATCTGCGCCTTGATCCTTGATGGTGGTGGTGTTCCTACGGATGCGGAGAGCTCGGTCTCTAGCCGAGTCTCACGCGAATACTTTATATTTTGAAAGCGTGTGGGACTGCGCAAGTTTGTTCAGAATCGGGAGGTGTCTGCTAGGTGAGGTTGTGCCGTATCACCACCACTCTCTGCAAGGTGCGGCTGACTAATCTGATCTGCCGTGCGTCCGTACAGCCAGCGGCAAGAAACATGTCGAGTGTCCCAAGTGGGACGTTACAGCGGCGTATGCATTCGGGGTGCATTTCAGGAGCGAGAGTACATAATTTGTTGGCTTGCGGACTCACATGTGTGTTACATGTGCGTCACATGTGTGCTTGTGACTGAAGCTGAACAGTATATCTGCCATCGCAATACATAATTATCATTGCCGTCATCTGTGTTTTATTCTCTTCGTGCAGAAACAGACGAGGAAAGCGGGCAACAAGGAAAATGACTATGCAGAACTCATCTACGACAACAGCGAGGAGGTGAGTACGACGGCCGGGCTGCAATTTTTAGCGCCTGTTTATTGTCCCCTTTCGCCACCCTGACACTAGCTTGTGTGTGTGTGTGCACGCGTGTGTCTGTGTTCGTGCATGAGTGAGCGTCAGGAGTGTGTGTGTGTGGGGGGGGGGGGGGCACTACCGGTATGTGAACACTATGTTATTACTATCCCCATCGAATTTATTTTCTCCATTTGTCACTATATAAACCTTGCCGCAACAAAAGGGATGTGCATAAGCATGCTTAGTTCTTCCTCTCTACCATTTTCCCTTTCTCCTCCTTGTACAGGATGAGAGTTCATCAACCTCGTCAAGCCAGCAGCCGCCGTCGCTGAAGCGCTCGCTGACCGTAGGATCAAGCAGCTCACCGATGCGCAGCATTGTCGAGGAGATGGAAGTGCCGAGCGACCGGCTGCAGTCGGCCCGCCGCAACATCACCTCCACCTTGTCCAGCAGCAGCGGCGCCAGCACCAGCGGCACTGGCAGCTGTGCTGGCGCCGCAGGTAACAGCCGGGGCGACGTGCGCGTCCCGTCGCTCGCTAAGTCCGCCTCGTGGCCACGCATGCGCACCAACGCGTTAGCTGCTCACACGCTGCCCAACCTCGACAGCACTCCCGCGAAGACGTGCAAGCGGTCGGAAAAATCAGTGAGTGTTGTGATAAGTTACGCATTAGGCCAAACTAAAGAAGGTGTGTGGTTCGACTAACATGGACATTTTTTTACGGGCGGGCGGGCGTATTTTTTTTTTAAATATATATTTTTAGTACATGTAAATACACTGTACTGCCTTTAGACACCCAGTACATCGGCATTATTACGCAGTGTTATGCCATACATGTTGTATAAAGGGATCACTGGCTAATACTTTGAAACATTGTGTAGCTCTGGAACGAGAAGAGAATAACTTCAAGCGGTGACTCTGACTGTCCAAATCATCAAGCAAATGAAGAACGATGCGAGTTGAAAGTAAGTTCGGGAACTACTTCGAAGTACAAATTGTACAATGTACCGGTACATGTATTGCTAGTTTGGTGTCGGCGTGCACGAATACATGGGCTTTTTCCATCGACGCTTCCTGTGCTTGCACACATGGAGCAGCAACTTACCGGTACAGGTGAAATATCGTTCCCAATACACGAGGAAAGTGCAATCTCGTCTGTCCTTCATCCCAAAACAGAAGGCCGTCCTTAATCTGGAACGAGGCAATCACTCTCAACCGGACGGTCACTTCAAAATAAGTCTCGCCAGTCTGCCGGTGGTCGTATCGAGTAGACTCTACTACCAGCACAAGGCAGCAGTCGTAGATCTACCACTCACTGCACTGCACTGCAGTACGAGAACTACAAGTCAAGTCCAAAAGGAGCCGCCTGCGTCCGCAGACTCACGCTGCATGCACAGCACGTAGACCATGTAGACGTGGACGTGTTCAGTCCACGTACGTCAGTCACACGACATCCCGCCGAAAAAAAGTTACGGTCGGGCTGAAAAATGTACGGTCGGTCGGGTGAGTCGAACCACAGACCTTCTTCAGTGTGGCCTTAGCAGTTTTTTTCCTGTATATTTTCCTTTCATTTTGTGATTGTAAGATATGACTCATTATGAGTTATCAGTACATGTACTGTAGTGTTTTGCGGCAAAGACCGTCTCATGTAGAAGCCTGTTTAAAAAAACAAGCCTGAATTTCAAGATGGACTGTTGGCGTGCACGCCTGGTTTTAGTGTTGACATACTACATACGTGCCTGGCAAAGTGGTCGCCAGTACCAGATTGGTCGCTAGTCACGGTCGTCTTTAGTTTCAGATTTCACTGTGATACATAGAAGCACCTGGTTTAATGCAAGCCGCCCTACAATGACATCAGCTTCAAGCCCTACCATGACATCAGCTTCAAGCCCTACCATGACATCAGCTTCTACAGGAACACTCCCAGCCTTTGTACTCAGCTTTACAGTGCAGCTTCACTGAACTCCCAGCCTTTGTACTCAGCTTTACAGTGCAGCTTCACTGAAGGACTGTATGCAGAATGGCAAGCCAACTGCAGCTGCACAAGAAGTGGGCACAGCAGAGAAGTGAACGAGCGGCAGAGAACCTGGGAGAGCAGAAAGCATAGCTGCTTGTATGGTTGTTTGTTTGTTTATTTGATTTGTTTGTTTGCTTGTTTACAGCTCTTCACACTGGTGGGGAACGTGCAGGATGCCACGGAAGCACAGGAACTCGGCGAGAACCAGAATGTGAGTGTGGCGCGGGTCATCACGCGGGCGGGTGTATTTCTCGCTGGTGGGTGGTGTTGGGGAGGGGTTCTTGGTTAGAATCAATTATTAATCATGCAATGTTAAATGTTTGTGGTGTAGAAGTATTGTGTTGGTGTGCGGCAGCTACAGCATACACATAGATAGGTGCAACACGTGGAATGCACGCCAGGCAGCTTCGTCATACTTGTTTTCCCGACAATAAGTGTTAGTCTCCTTCGAAACACTGTTTTGCAATCTTCTCCTGACTTTTCATGCGTACTTCGAAGTACTAGTACATGTATTTCATGTATGTTTGTGGCTATTACTCTTAAGAGTGCTACATGTTGCGTTGGTGTACACGTTTTAATGCAGCTCTGTTCTCATTCTGACTGTGCATTTGTTTAGTTGATGGACGATTTGCAATACTCCATGGACGGCCTGTTGTCGACGTCCGCACTGGCAGTGCGTTGTCTCAGGTTAGTCGTGTTGTTCTGTAGGAGTATCACGTCTTGTTGTCGGCATACGGCGCAGGCCAGGCGGAACCGGTCCGGTTGGTCAGGCCATGGGTGGACCAACTTGTTGGACACTCATGTGTGTTTACTGCTTAGGAGGTTATGTGTGCATCCACCATATCATACGCAACGTATGAAAGGGTAGGGTATGGCCGGACCAGTGGAAAACTGCTTGCACTTGTCCCTGCAGTGGGGGAGTCATCGGACACCTGTGTACCTGTTTCCTCACGTTTAGTCTACCTACTCTAGTGGTATTGTTCAGGTGTGTCTCACTCCCATACTTTTGGCTCAACCTCTCAGCACGAGGTAGAATAGTGGCACCTTGCCCCACCCCTACCCTTGCCGTTCTGCTTCACTACGGCTTGTGCCGTGACACACTCTATTCTCTCTCTCTCTCTCTCTCTCTCTCTCTCTCTCTCTCTCTCTCTCTCTCTCTCTCTCTCTCTCTCTCTGCCTTGTCTCCTCCGTCCTCATTTCTCCTGTGCTCATTTTCCGTTCCTGTCGGTTCTTTGTTCAGTTGTTGTAATCTTGCCAGTCAAGCTGCTACACCGGCATTCAGGCAGGCACTGCGCTCCAGTGGTGCAACAACAACGTTATTCTCACGTCTCCAAGATGCCCCCAAGATCAAGGTATGGTCTCCCAGTGGTGCTGATGTAGGACTATGGATTACGTTCTTCTTTCAAAGGTTGATGTAAAGTTTGATGGACTTATGAGCTGTTGAGAAGCACTCAGGAGTAGGGATAAGCAGCACAACTCTGTCGCTGCGCGCACGCGCGCGCGTGTGTGTGTTGTATTCATGCACGTGCGCTCGGGTTTTATTTTACAGTCGTCTGCAGAAGCAAGCAGCTTTGGAATGATTTTAGGCGTTGTGTTAAAGTCCCATTGTTGGTTCACAAGAGGGATTGGTAGTGTATGCCTTCTATTCCTCTTGCAAATCAGTCGCACGTGTTGTTCGTAGCGAGTGGTCATGTAATGATAGCTTTGTTTTGTATGTTGCTGCTGATGCGTGGGTGTGTGCCTGTTTTCCCGCGTAGAGTCTTGCCCTGTGCACCTCGGCGATATTCTACATGCTGAGCCGCGACCGACTCAACATGGACCTGGACAAGAGTGGCCTGGGTGAGTGGCAACACTATCTCTGCTCCGTCTGCTGGTTTTCGCTGGCTTCTGTGCTGCTCAGACCACGCTCAGTGTTGTGTATATGCTGCAGTCCAGTGTCGGGTGTGTTTAACTATGTACGTATGTATTTGTCTGGTACTGTTTGAAATTATTTCTTTGTTTTTTTGTATCTTTCCCTTGTACTTGTATAAGTTTGTATTTGCTTTCTGGTTCTGCTGAGCAGAACTGCTTGTTCAGCTGTTGCGCTCTGAAAAGGACTCTGAGTGGATGGCGTCGAAGAAGGAGGATGAAAAGCAGTACACCAAGATGCAGACGAAGATCAGGTGAGCACGTGCGGGCTGTGACCGGTGTGAGAGTGATGTGCTTATTCTGTGTGCGTGTTACATATCTCCATGGGCCGTACAGATCTGTACTTTGTAGACCAGGTAGTCCTGTGTTTACTGTATCCAAGGTCCAATGACTGATCTACAGTGAAACTGTCCACGACGACCGCTCGGGGGACCTTCAAAGTGTGGTCTCTATTACCAGGCGGTCTCCCTATCCAGGGTCATTTGACTGGAAATAGCATCCCTTGGTCCTGGTTGCAGTGGTCTTCTGGGACAGGTGGTCACCTTATCCAAGTGGTTGCCTTGACGGGTTTTATTGTACACCACGTGGTCTCTGTTACCAGGTGGTCTCCTTATCCAGGATCATTTGACTGGAAATAGCATCCCTTGGTCCTGGTTGCAGTGGTCTTCTGGGACAGGTGGTCACCTTCACAGGTCTGACTGTAGTGCAATTCAGGGCCCTCAGAACAGTACAGCTAACCTTGAGAATACCGCCCATCGATCAGTGTACTCGACAGCACAACTGTTAACAGTATTTGCAGTGGTGATATGCCCCCTGCCCCCTCCCCTTGACTTAAAAAAGGAGTTCAGTGTGCATTCGGGACGTCGAGCTGAAAATAGCGTATCCAGGACCCTCACCAAATACTCCATCTAATACGGTGATGTATCTTCCCTTGTGTTTGGTCTCCCCTGTGCAGGGTTCTTCTTCAGAACACCTCCATTCACGGCGTGCACCATCTCGACTTGAACAACATCACCGTGAGTGCGTGTGTGTGTGTGTGTGCGTGTGTGTGCGTGTGTGTGTGTGTGTGTGCGTCTGCGTGTGAAGCACAGGTGCTTGCTTGACTGTCTTCTCTAAGTGTGTCTCCTCGGATAAGAGCACACTTTGATTGCCAGCCTGATCTTGCATGTGGCTCATATGCTTGGGTTTGACAGACATACGTAGAAAATTTGTATCTGGTTTGCATGCAAGCCTGGTTCCCACGTCAGCTTGTACAAGAGTAAGCAGTGCAGAGCGCAGCACAATGTACTCTCTTGTCTGTGTCTGCATGCAGGCGGGACAGCTGGCGTGCGAGGCACTTCTAGCGCTGATGTCCAGCCTGGTCGGCGCGGCCCATCGCGACGACTTGCGTACTTTCGGCGGTCTCCGTCGTCTCATTGGTCTGGGTAAGAGCGGGTTGGTGTGACTGCAGCAGTGCCTCTCCCTGGGAATTTCTGATACGTCCTCTTCTGTGGCCAATGTCTTTGGTGTACCTGCTATAGGCTCCGTCAAGTGCATGCAATTGATTTCAGAATACAGTGTACAGCGGGAGTCAACAGTGTGTGTGTGTGTCTCTCTCTCTCTTTCTCCCTCTCCCCCCCCCCCCCTCTCTCTCTCTTTCTCTCTTTTTTTGCTCCATGCCAATGCAGTCACATCGTACACTGGCAATCTACCGGACGATAGACACTGCGTTGCATACCCTGACGACATGCCCAGCGTGCTGGACCGTATTTCTCGGCCCATCCACGTGCTCGCGGACTCCGTGCTCAAGGATCGCTCGGCCAACGCGTATCTGGTGCACGACAGTAGCCGCCACAATCGCCAGAACCAGGCGTATATTGTACAGTGCAATCAGGGTATCATATTCGCCAGTCTCGCTAAGATGGTGAAGACGGCGACATCGTATGTGTGTCAGCGAAGCTCTGATCCCAGGTGAGATTTTCCAGATTCTAGTGTTGTTGTTGTTTTTTTGTTGTTTTTATTCGCTGTTAGTGGATGCAGCTAATGGGATTTCGGTCTTTGACCACTTGGTGGTGGGTCTGATCTACTCACCTCCCACCGTTTAGGCGCTGCATCTGCGCCTTTGATCCTAGAGGGTGGTGGCGTTCCCATGACGGATGCGGAAAACTGGGCTTCCAGCCGAGTCTCACGCGAACCGTGAATTTTTTTTTTTTTAGTGATTATCTCTTACAGTTACATGTACTTGGTAATTGCTTAGCGATTGAAAATCAGAGTCGGTGCCATAATTTCTTCTCTGCATGGACTCTCCTGCACAGTCTGGTTTTTTCGTGTGAACGCCGATCTAGCTCATGCTTGTCACGGTGCATGATGCCAGTGTTTCCCATTGGCAGCATCATCCTGCTTTCTGGTGGTGGCAGGGGTTGTTTAAAAACACGCTTGCACTGGACGGCGTTCATTAGTTCTTTTCGATGTCAGTGAAGGCGAGCGTGAATGCGGTTGTGCAGTGATTGTGCTGCGAGGAGCGAGGAGAGTGATAGTTTGACAACTGCATGCATTCCCTGCCGTATTATTCATTCCCGTTGATTCTGTTCTCCCCTGGGGTGTCACTAACGCCTGGGAGCGTGCCAGTGCAGCATTGTATATTTGATAGTCGTGTGATTTGTCTGCGCTGCGTTCGATTGCAGCTCCTTGCCGAACAACGAGGCTAAGAAGATGGTGGTGTCGGCGCTGTCACCTGCGCTGCGTCTTCTTGTCAGCTTGACACATGACCAAGGTAAGAACGAACCCAAATCTGGTCCCCTGGGCTAGATTCCAATCTGGCCCTGGCAAAACTAGGCGGGTTTTGTTTAGGACTGAACCGAAACCTGGTCCTTGACTGCGGATTTAACGACAATTCGCGAATAACGACAGAATTTGCATGCCCAGAGCAAAGTTTCACCTAACTGTAGTTCATACAGTGAGACTTCGGGTATGAGGACACTTCGCGAATAATGACACATTTCTGATGCCCCGTCGAGTGTCCTTATACGCAAAGTTGACTGTATGCCGTGTCTCTTGTTTGTTGTTCTCACTGATCACTGTTGTATGTCCTGCTTGCTTGTCTGCCTGCAGACCCGGCATGTGTCGAGTCTTGCCAGCGAGATGGTCTGCTGGAGTCGGTGTTGCGGTGCATCGTGGACGTAAGTCGACCTAGCCGCTCTAGTGTGTGTGTGTGTGTGTGTGTGTGTGTGTGTGTGTGTGTGTGTGGATTGGACAGTTATCTGGCGCTAGTCTTGACCTGTCTCATTCAGATCTTTTTCGCTATCGTTGCTATAAGAGAAAATCTGGGGGTGCACATCCAGTGCATTTGCAGATTTGCGGGCTTCTCTTGCGACGGGCGTGTACATGGTACATGGTGTGTGCGTGTGCGTGTGTGTGTGTTTACATAACCGCAGCATCATTGGTATGACGTATCGCATTCCCTGAAGGTGCTCAGTTATTAGTACAATGGCAATGGTGGTACCAGCTAAGGCATTGATGTTGCTATGCTGTGTTGTTGTGCAGGTACCACGTCATGTGGACCTTGCTGAAGAGACACAGATCAACCTGGTGCTGCAGGTGAGTACCCCCGCCCCCTCCGTGCACTGCAACGTCCTATCCGTCTTACAATGCGATAACATTTGAATACATTTGTCTTTGGATGATCGGTTTGCCTAGCCCACTACTAGTACAATGTATGCTGGTATTCTTGTCGGAATATTGGTGGTGTTCTTTTACTTAACTACATCCTTGGTGTTTTGACCTCCTTTTCCTCCGTGCTTGCCTGTGCAGGCGGTGTGCCTGCTGCTCAACTTCTCCATGCACAGCTGGACTGTTCAGAGTGCGCTGGCCGCGCTCAAGCCGGCCTGGCTGTGCCCGCCGAACGACAGCTGCGGCGACGACGACGAGCCGCCGCCGTCTCCCATCGTCACGCTGCTGGACATCTGCGAGCAGTACCAGGCGGCCGCCAGCGTCTACGATCTGGACGCGCTGCTGGACAGCCGCCTGGCCGCGCTCAAGGCAGCGGTCGCCGCTTTGCCTGGCAACCAGGATTCACCGGATAGTTCGCCGGCCGCGGCGGTCGGTTCCGAGTCGGCCGAGAGCGTGGCCAACTCTCGCGAGCAGGCCTACAGTCACATGCAGCGCAGCCTGGTGGCGGCCTACATGGCTATGCTGATCGGCCTGCTGGCGCAGTCGTCGTCCAACTGCCGCCTGGCGCTGTGCAACGCCCTGGCCGCGGACAGCCTGGACAGCATGCTCAAGCTGCTCAACTACTTCCTGTCCTTCCTGCGCATGACGGTATGTACTGCGTGCTGCGGGTGTACGTGTGGGGGGGGGGGGGGGGCTTTTGGCTAAGGAACTATGGAGTATGTGTGTGACTGTCTAGAGGCACGACCCCGGTTTAATTTGTATTGCATGGCATGTGGCTAACTTTGGCACGCGTCAAGTCCAGATAAGAACTAACTAAGGGAAGGGGGCCAGAAGGACTCTACCTACATTGTGTCAACCGGTGCTATGAATCCACCGCTACGGATGTACACACACACTGGGCATCAGAGGACATACTGGAATGTGCGATAACTTCATCGAATACATCACCATACTTATTGTATGAGATATTTTGCATGGAGTCCTTCTAGGTAATCCATGTCGTATAGAGCCTACACAACGATGTCAATCGCCCGACCTCTACACCTCACTTGTAACCTCTCTGTTTTACCTCCCTTGTATGCATGATTCCCGAAAAGTAATACACGTCTCTTGCTGGGTTATTTTATTTTATTTTATCCTATTCCTGTGTGTAGAATATGGCGAATGACACTGAGACCGAGCTGATCACCAGCATCGTGAGGATGTTACAGGGTTTCTCCAGCAAGCCTCTTCCCGCCGCCGCCGATGACTGTGTCGGTGGTGGGCCCGAGCTGAAGGCCATCTGTCCCGAGGTAGGCACTTCGTAGTGTTCGCGGCGCATCGCAGCATGGACGTTAACACCGTCCCAGCCATATTTCCTTGCGTCTCCAAACTCTTAATAATAATATGTGGCGGTCACTTTCCGCTGTTCTTTGACGAACGAACTCTCGTTTAGCACTCCTACTCATAGACAACGATTGGTGACAAAATTAATAGTTCTTTCCATGATGGTGCCTTGCTACCTGCGGAGATGCCACTCCGCAGCACATTGACTTGTACGCATGCCTCCGTCTTATTATTATCGCCACAGGCTTCGAATAGTGTGTGTGTGTGTGTGTGTGTGTGTGTGTGTGTGTGTGTGTGTGTCATAAGATTAGCACCTTTTTCTCGATTCTTTCTTTAATACCTCTATGTTTCATACGTGTGTGTATGTGTGTCATTAGATTAGCACCTTTTCTCGATTCTTTCTTTAATACCTCCTCTATGTTTCATACTCTTATAGGTGAGACGCTATCGGGTTGCCGTCAATTGTTGTTCTATTTTTCTTGTGCAGTTTTCCTACATGATACTAACTAGCTGGTTGTTTTCTCTATCTGATGTAGGACCTAGAAGATGCATGCTCATTTGTACTCTTTACTACTGTAGGTTTGTTTTCTAGGATCTTCGAGGCAGACTAGTCGTCTGCTTCTGTGTTGCACGTTCCCATGAGATTAACATTTGATTTTGTATGTGTTTGCATGCGCACGCCTGTCTGCCGTATGAGTCTTTTCAGTTCTCTGTTAACCACCAGTACAGACCTGTGTTTGCTGCACCCAATGCTTGATTCTTCCGTGCTCCACCAGCTTGGCCATTTTCCTTCATGTTTGTTTACATACCGGTAACGTTGGTATGCATCGATACTAGTAGTCATTAGCGCAATGCACCATCGTGTGCATTTGCACCTATCTTTCATAGCTTTGCCGGCGGTATCGTTATGCAATGACGTCATGCAATGATGTCATCATTTGAATGCACTCTACTATAATACTGGTGTCATCGACTCATCTCTGTGCTGTAGAGGCTGCACGATCACGATGGCATTTTTGACATTGTCATACTGTAGTGGTTACATAATGATGTCATCATCTGAAAATGTGTCACAATAGTATACAGTCAACTTCGCTAATAACGACTGCGGATATAATGACAATTCGCGAATAACGACAGAATTGTCATGCCCAGAGCAAAGTCCCATGCCACTGTAATACATACAATGAGACTTCGGGTATAACGGCACTTCGCGAATAACGACACTTTTCTGTTGCCTTGCCGAGTGTCGTTATAAGCGAAGTTGACTGTAGTTCGGAAGCATGTGTACAGGGAAATTTCAGAGAGCGGAGAAAGGGGACATAGGCCCACCGGGTGGCGCGTGCATGAGAAAAGGGGACATCGGCCCATCAGGTGCATGATGTATACATCATAACGGAAGCAAGTGTTCTACAAAGTCAGCAGAACCATACAAGCACACAGCGGACGATTCTATCAGCTCTCCTCTTCCTCCACAAGCGTGTAACATCCCCCAGAAAAAGCAAACAATTCTGCTGACCTTTTTGCTGTCACGTGATATCAAGAGTACATAACGGTGGTGATATCTACATGTACCAAGCGGTTCCAGAACTCCACGGACTCGTCATTATGACTTCTTTGTGTTCTTTCACACAGCCTCTATATCAGCCCGAGTCCCAAAGGGGAGGGGGGGGGGGGAGAGATAGAGAGCATCTATGCTGCTGCACGGTGACCAAGATACATGTCACTGAGGCGGAGTGAAGAGCCAGAACAGAGGGGCTTGGGAGGGGAGTACAATGTCATGTACTGACTTACATGACTTTTAAATGTGACTTATAGGCTGTTTTGTACCTATCGTCTGAAGAGGGCCTAACAGGCCAGGGGATGTTTATGATCAGTGACATGCTACATGTACATGCACTTCATATCTCAGCGTTTGGTGCACTCTCCACCTTTCCCTCCCCCTCCCCATTCTTCCTGCAAGGTGTTGGGCTCACTGGGGAAAGTCTGTAGAGCACGAAAAGGCGATATTTCTTCAAAAACTGGAAAAGAAAATTTGCAATACCTCCTCGTATTCCCTCCCCTAACGGTCTGTTGACCATTTCGTCGATCTTTTTCCAGAGTGCATCATTTTTTCACCTCCCAAAACCATGGTAACTGAGTGTTGATGGAGCACATCATGTCATCACTGAACACCTTCCCAGTAAATCTGGTTTCGAAAATTTTTTTCACAAGGACATTAAAATGTCCTTGTGTGTGTTTGGGGGGGGGGGGGGGTGGATGATGCATGCCAGTCCGGTAGTGTAACTGTCCCCTCCCAGACATGCAGGCTGCTGACTCCGAGAGAAATGACAAAGTAGTGAAAGACGTACATTGCAAGTTAGTTGTAACTAACATGTTTTTCGATTTAGACAGCATGTTACAAGGCGAGGGCGCATACTGTCGCATAGTGCTCCTGACTACAACCATAACCCGGTTGGCAGAGTCCAGGCTTTATAATTATACCAAGTTAGTTGTAACTAGTACTGTTAGTATTGTACAATATAACTAGTAAACTAACTTTTCCTGTTACCAACACAGGCAAGAGTCCTTGGCTTGCTCTCTTGCTGTTTCCTTTTCATGTATATGTGCCGCTACTAAGTTTTGGTGGCCGCTACCGTGCACTAGTTGTGACATGAAACACAGACTTGGGTGGACTCAGCCGACCCATGATAATGAAAGAGTGATATTTACTTCACGATGTGCCTCAAATCACCACAAAGATCCTCTATAATATTATGTAGATCTACATGACTGTACATTGTACGTAGTGCAGCACTGCAGTCTGGCGGACATCCGCACCGTTAGCTGCTTGTAGATCTGTATTGTAAAATAATTATTGTGTTGGTAGTACCGGTCCGGTATTCGTGGTACACGGTGCATGTGCACAAAACAGTGCAATAGCGACTTTACACCAGGGATAGGAGTCGTGAAAGCTGTTCCTGCTTTACACCGAAAACTTACTTGGTTCGATGTACAGTGCTGGCAACTGAAATCCGATCCCCTAGCGTCTCGTACGAATCGCCAACCCGGCTAGCGCACCGCTAGGGGGTTCGGATTTCAGTTGCCATCACTGTAGTTTAGGCTGCAGTTGAGCTCAGCACTCCTGGCAAATTGGCAATGACTCATTCTGATTCACAAACTTTTACAGCTTAGTACTGGACATCGCACTTGTGTCAGAACCGTTCGTTTTGCCTCCGAACACATCCATGTACACGGATACCAGGCGTGAGCACCGCTAGCAAGCTAGGCCTGGCAGCGCAGCTGCAATGCAGGTGACATAGCAAGTATAACTATAGCGCTAACGTCTTTAAAATGGCGGAGGTTGTGAACATCGTATAACCAACCATAGAGTAGGACCTCGATAATCGTAACCATACAAGCTGGTGTGCAGAGTCCAACACTGCCGCACTGCACTGGTGCATGGCTGATTGTGTTGCCACGCACCTTACTACATTACCCTTGCCCGAATGAAAAAGGTTTGTTCTGCACTACGCGTCGATACCTTGCATTACCTCGGATTCGAAATTGATGATCAGATGTATTCTTGGTATCCGAAGCCAGTTCGACAGACAAAGACAGGCTGAGCGGGTACACACGACGTCAGGCGACTTGTTGTAGACTCTCCGTGCCGTGAGCACGCCTCAGCACGGCTAGGTGGAATAGACAGACACTACTACACAGTATGTCCGTGGTGTGGATTGTCTGCGTGGGCATGTTTCGACCTCCATGTGCTGCAAATGGTAGATCATGGTAGATCGACACTGATTAGAAGATCGCCACTTATCCACATCCTCATTGCCAAAATGAAATCATGGCAATTGCCAACATACATGTAACAAGAATGAACAGCTTCCTCGAATGAGAATGAATGAGTAATGCGATTGTTTCTGTGGCTTTTGTGTACGTATGTCGCTATGAATCTGTATGTCACACTAGCGCTATGAATCAGGGAGTAGTACTAGTAATAGTATGCTATGAGTATGAATCTCTCCTCTCACCTCTTAGACTTACGTGTATCTTGGCCTGAGCTGTGCGCATTTATGTAAAATTACTCAGCTGGATGCGCAAACTGGCAGCCTGGACTGCGACATCGTCTTCAAAAGACCACCGCTGAGTGTGGCTGTTCTGAGAGGTTCTGTCATCTCTTAGAAGTCTGAACTGAAGTCTGAAGTGTTGTTCTGTACTGCGCGCGCACGCATTGCCTGCTCATGACGTAATGTTTTAGATCGGGACTTTGGAGTCCAGACTCCAGGAGCGGAGTCCAGACTCAACGTAGAGTCTACGTAAGGAGATCTGCTTACGATACTCCCCATACCAGGTAGATCTACCGGGTCCGTCCATAGCCAAGCGAGATGAGATGCTGTCACCAGATCAAAACAGCACAAGGCATGCGCGTACATGTACAGTGGTGGCCAAAAGTGATGTCCGGCACCCAAAAATGGGTGAATGTTGAGTGAGATTGGTTATTCTGGCCTGGTGATTCTTTCAATGACTTGCAATGCGGTCAACAATGGATTTTCGGGGGAAAGCATGACGTCATATATGTCACGTGACCTATTGCGTCACACAAATGGCTGCCACGTGCGGACATGACTTTTGGCCAAAAATGCGTACGCACATTGTACCGTACTACCGTAGTTTTTGACTGGCAATGCATGCCGGGAATTTGAAATCTTGCAAACACAGAGCTTCAGGAGTTGTCCTGGCGTGAATTTGTGACCGAGAGATTTCGTTTTGACCCCAATGGCTGGCAGGAAAGAGCTCTATGCTAGCACGAAGCTGGCCATTGTAAAGCTGAGTCAGAATGGTGAAAAATCTAGTCAGATTGCCAGGATTTTGGACCTGAACGAGCGTACGTGCCGTAGAGTCATTGCCAAACATAATGTCGATGGACGTGTTGAAAACTAGAAGTGTTCTGGCCGGCCCAGGGTGACCAGGGCCAGATACGACCATCGTCTAACGATACTCCATATGGCAGATAGATTCAAAACCAGCCCGAAACTGAGAGCTGAGACGACCTAGCAGACGGATTCACGGGTGTCTGGACGAACGGTGCGCAGGAGGCTGCAGAACGCAGGCCAAAAGGGCTGCATCGCAGTGAAAAAGCCTTTCATGTAGGCTAAAAATTTGAAAAACGACTAAAGTTTGACCAGGCCCACAGGAACTGGACAGTGGCAGATTGGAGTCGTGTGCTGTGGACTGATGAGTCAAAATTCAACTTCCATGCCTCTGATGGAGTGAGGTTTGTTCGCAGGAAGCCTGGAGAACGACACAGCCTGAATTGTTTGCGTGGTACTGTGAAGCATGGAGATGGAGATATCATGTATGGGGATGCTTGTCGGCGACGCGCGTTGGACGGCTTTTCAAGGTCGAGGGCATCATGACAGCCAACCAATACATGGGCATTCTGCAAAATGTCATGCTGCCGTCCATGACTGACCTTTTTGCTGATGAACAGGCTATTTTTCAGCAGGGCAATGACCCCAAACATACAGCTAAGGCAACCAAAGCATGGCGCGCGACGCAAGACTTGACGGTGATGGAGTGGCCACCACAGTCACCAGATTTGAATCCCATCGAGAATCTATGGGAAATGCTCAGCCAGCACTGCCAGGGCAACAGGAGGGCAAAAAAAACGATGGTGAGCTCTTCACTGAGTGCAAGCAGGCATGATATTCGATTTCATTGGATATCTGCCGCCGCCTCGTCGAATCGATGCCGCGCCGCATGGCGGTTATGATCAAGAACAAAGGAGGCCCAGTAAATTGGTACAGGCTGACTCCAGAGAGTCTGGCCTTAGTTTCTGTAGGGATTAGAACAGTTTAGATGAGAAATAGTTGACTCTACGCCGCGTATTGTAGATTGTGCAATATTGGCCAAAAGTGATGTCCGGCCGCACATTGCCATACTTAGGGATAGGGACACAGAAAATATACT